CAGTTGAAATTTCATTCTAAAACTCATCTTTTTTGTTCTTTTCATGGCTTATGATCTGTCAAATTTGTATTTTTCTTTATTGGTTTTGAGTGTTTATCTTAAAACTCAAGTTTCTTGGTTTAAATCGAACACATTTGTGTAGTCGTTTAAATATGTTGGATTTTAAACTGTCATACAATATTTTTCATCGATAGTCTGTAATTGGAACCATAACTCTTGTTTATTCAAATTGTATTAATATGTAAAGACCAAGTGTTACATATATCATCGTTAAATCTTATCTTATAAAACCAGTGGAACTTCAAAATCGTTAAAATTTATGGCTCCCGCTGCATTGCACAGATACACAACTAGTTTTAATAGTAAATAAATAATTAAATCTGAGCACTTACTACAATAAAGTGGATATTATTTAAAAAAAACTTAACTTTTAAACTAGAATTATTTGAACACGTAGATTTCTATTTTTTAATTAGAAATTAATAAAGAAATTATATTAAATATCAATAAACATTCATATATATTTTTTAAAATCAATAAAAAGTTCAATTATTTAACCACTAAACTTCATAAAATTTATTATTATTTAAAATCTTAATTATCCATCAAAAGGAATGATGGTCAAAGCTGGCGTCGAACGAGCCGGCGGCTAAGCGATAGCCACGAAGAAGCAAAAATTCTAAGATCTTTCTTCTCTTCGTCCAACCACATCACACCACGTCCCCACCTCATAAAACACCAGTGGTTGACCACGCTAACACACAACACCTTCCCACACTATATCAATCTCCCACACAGCTTAGCGAATTCTTCGTAATTTCTTCCTTTCAACCTATCATCGTTTTCAACGAGCAATCATCTCGCTTCTTCTGGAGATTCTCATCGTTGAAACCCTAAAATTATACCTAAAAAGGTTCCATTTACTCTTATCTTCACGAGATTTTGCTTGGGTTAGGGTTTCCTTCTAATCCTCATATATATGTATTTCTAATTTTAGAATCATATTCTGGTCTCTGTAGTCTGATTTTGTTTCTTATTTTTTATGGAGTTTAATGTATCTGATGAGTTTTTGGGGACGGTGGCTCCGTTAGTGGTGTATTGGGTGTATTCTGGATTTTATGTGTTGTTTGGATCGCTAGACAAATATCGGTTGCATACAAAAGAAGATGAAGATGATAAGAATTTGGTTTCAAAGAGAACTGTCGTCAAAGGTGTTCTTCTCCAACAGGCTATTCAAGCTATCGTCGCCATCATCCTTTTCACGGTACGTTTATTTTCTTAATCGTGCATAACATGCTTGTTTACAGATTATTTACTTAGTTTGGTGTTAAAAGTATGATTGTTGATGTTGGAGGAAAATAGGGACTTTTGATGATATTTGTAGGTGGGGGATATAAATTTCCTTTTCTTTTGGTATTTGGTTGTTATGATGATTTGATCAATTACTCTGCTTTCACCAAGAAGCCAATGATCACAAATAGTATGTTCCGATTTCGTCATTTCTCTATCCGAAGTTCAATATATGTGGATAATCTCGCGGTACCAAATCGAAACAGCGCTTTACCCCTAGATGTCCAGTCACCCCAGATTCATACTAGAACCACCACGATCCAATAAAAATCAGAGGGACAAATAGTCAATTTTGAAAGAACTTATTGTCAACCTCTCTGATAAATATTTACCATCCGAAAAGAGGAATCATTTCTTCAGACAGAAGAAGATGAATTAAGAAGTCGGATATAGCAAAAATTATGTTAAAGTAGGTTATTTCTAGTGGAAGAAGCCATCTGTGTGTGGGACAGTTTGATACTGTTTAGTACTTTGTTGTGTATATATTTTTCAAGAGTTATAAATAGAGGCTGGTTTCTAGTTTTTTAAGTTCGGTATTTACTTATGTAATCTGTGGATTTCTGATGTAGTTTTGTCATTGATTGAGATGTAATCATTCATATCATGTGATTTATTAGGTGTTATTATATATGAGAGATATATAAAGCTTGGAAAGCTAGTCTACTTTTAGTGTCAACCATCCTCCCACCGACTCTGCTAATCCTTTATTTCATTTCATCTGTTTTTAGTCCTTTAATCTGTTTCGATGAGTTTAATTTTAAATATGATTCATACAAGTGTCAACCAGAGATCCGTGTATGTTTTAAATCTTTCATGCCTCGCCTCGTTTAGGAATCAGTTTCGGTAAGTCTTAAAAAATTGGTTAAATATTTTATTTTGATTGGAATTAATTCATTGAAGATATGATATGAGAGTCAAAAGAGCCATGATGTTAATGCACTCACCTAGGTTTGTTCCCTTTGCGTCGTGAAGCCGGGGGTCTTGAGGGAAACAACCTCTTGATCCTAGTGGTTGAGGTTAGGCCTACATTCTAGCCCTCTGAGACCCGACTCTCGAGGGGGGATATACTGGGTTCATTTGGTTTATTTTTGTAAAGTAATATAAAGAACGTATGTGGAGTGTTATCCTGTTGACATTTGGGATAGGAAAAATTTTCTTTCTTTAAATAAAATTTTGCGATGTGGTCTATGTCATAGTTGTATTTTCTTAGCTTTCACTCAGCATTATGAGAACCGTTTCTTTTACATCATGGAGAGGGGATAGACATTTAAATTTGAAGTGGAATTTGGTGGCTCGTACCAAATTGAAAATATTTTCAAGCATTATGAATAGATAATTGCCTTTTTTGGGAGGAGTGAGGGAGGAGATGAAGTTTAAACTGAATATAATCTATGCAATTCCTTTGGTAAATTATGCACCTGTAGATGACAGGTTTTGAAAAGCAGTTGTTTGTATGAAGCGGACATCTCTTCCTTTCATCAAATGTTGTATTTCACATTGATGTTCCCTTATTTTTCGTAGAAAATATATAACTCCTCTGTTCAATCATTCCAAATATAAATACTATTTAATCTTATTAAATATATAGCATGAATTTTGGACCTAATATGTTTGAATGATAAAAATCTTATCAACAAACTACACAAGCACCTGCCTAAGATATGCCAAAATTTTCTTTTTATATATTTCATCGAAGGCTTTTATGGGGTCTATCTGGTTTTGCCCAGTTATCGTGACTGGGTACGGCTAGAATTATCATGAGGAATTAAAGGTGTTTTTCTTTTTGTTGTAAGCTTGGAACATATTTTTAAATTGCTCTTTTGTTATGGACAAGGGAGTGGGATGGGGAGGGGTTATCTACTTATCTCCGTATTACCGTCTATCATCAACTTGGTAAAGAGAAAGTAATCGTCTGTCTTACATCCCTAGGATATTTGATGGTGTTTAAAGAACAATGGAATCAGGTTGTATCAAAACATGGAGTAAAAGTGAGGACATATCAAGTGAATTGGCCACAGATTTTCGCAGTTATGATTTTGGATAGTATCTTTTCGGGGGTTATTTGGACACACTTGAGTAGTAAGTTAGAGATTTCTGCTTCTCAAATAAGCTGGTCAGGGAATTTGTTGATGAACTGTTACCTCCTAATTTATTTGGTTTGTTATCGTTCAAAAGAACTGCAGAATCATCTCTGGCCTATATGACATTGCAAATTCAAATTAAAAATTTTAAAATGTAAGGGGGCTTTCTTACATTTCTGTATGCTTCTGTAAGTTTTGTGGAAATATTGTTTCACTGAACGTTTAATGGAGGGAAACCTTTGATAAACAGCTTGATCGAAACCTATATCTGAGCATCACGTTGCTCGAGCGACCATCATGATAAACTATAGTTGGTAACTTGGTTTACCACAACGTCATGAAGTCTGTTATTAGAATAATTAACAGCCTTTGCAATAATGCAAGTTTTCATCATGCATTTTTGGAAATTACTGTTGTTGTCATGTTGTCTATGCAGTATTTTTTATTTGTTTTTGTGATTCAGGTTACAGGAAGTGATGCAGGTGCTGCCAGCACTGAGAAGCATTCTCTCTTCGATCTTGGTAGACAATTCTTTACTGCTATGGTGGTGATAGATACTTGGCAGTACTTTATGCATCGGTACATGCATCAAAACAAGTTCCTGTACCGGCATATCCATTCTCAACATCACCGACTCATTGTCCCATATGCTTTTGGAGCTCTTTACAACCATCCATTGGAGGGGCTTCTCTTGGACACAATTGGTGGAGCACTGGCTTTTCTCTTATCAGGCATGTCCCCTCGAGCTTCTATATTCTTTTTCTCCTTTGCTACCATCAAAACAGTTGATGACCATTGTGGATTGTGGCTTCCTGGGAATCTTTTCCATGTCTTTTTCCGGAACAACTCTGCCTATCATGATATACACCATCAGCTTTATGGTGCCAAGTACAACTATTCCCAGCCCTTCTTTGTTGTATGGGATAAAATCCTTGGGACTTATATGCCCTATTCACTGGAAAAGAGAGAGAGTGGCGGTTTTGAAGTAAGGCCGGTAAAAGTTGTCAAGGATGATTGATTAAATTCACCTATTTGCTAGTTTTAGAGTACATGTACCATTATGTTTGCATTCTTTCTTTTAATGTTGCAGTATATTTTTTTTATCATCATAAATATTCAATATATAGTGTTTACAAATAAATTTTTTCTTCATTCATGGCCATGTAAATTTAATTAAAAAACCATTTTTTGTACTATGTTGGCATTATAATTTTTGAATTCATATGTTTCTACCTGTTGTTTTAACTTTTTTCGTTGCGGTTGCCTGTAGCCTTATGATAGCTGAATCCTGAAGTGATTTCTTCAAACTGACAATATTGTTCTAGATACAAAAGCATATAGGGGTTTGTGGCTGTGCGTATGGCAGGTGTATGCAAGCACATACGAAAACAAAATTTCTTCTTGCTTCTTTCGCGTCCTACAAAAATGTTATTCCCATGTTAATCTCTTGAGGTTGTAGAGTCATTGTGTTTTTTTTACCATCAACTTCAGGAACATGATATCCATAGTCCAGTTGGGAAGTCCTGAAATGAAAATTACAGGATTTAAGTATGTGAGTTCTGTTCATGGCTAATCTCTAGGTGTGCATGTCCACAATACCCAGGATTGGAGCCACAGCCTTTAGGTATGCTCCTCACTTATTGATACGATGAGCGTGAGAGGTTGATTGATGAGAGACTAGGAGTGGAAGTGAGAGATGGAGATGGGGTCAATGAACTAAATCTTATATTCTCAGCTTATGTAGGATATTTCTGGCGTTGTTTAATAATTAATGAGTGATGGACCTTTTTCGAACCATTGTGCTTGGTCTTTGTTGCAAACTTACCGACATTTTTGCTTAAATGCTGAAAAACACTCTAGTTTCTAAAAATGACTGTTTTTGAACGATTTGTGGGAAGTAAATGAAAAAAGAATCATGGTACCTGGCATCTTTGCCTAAAGTAACCCATTCTTGCAAAATGTAAGGCAATTTTTAAATTTCTGCAAGAGCTATTGTTTGTAATGAAGAACTAGATATGATGTTTAGAAAGTCATTTAGTCATAACAAAAGTTACTTTGTTAGCTTATTTTTATCACAAAACGTTTTGAGTCCTCTATTATTTTCATATAATAAGAATGGGTTGTGGGTTTGATGCATAATTTCAGAGCAAAAAGAAACATTCTTTTTAACACTAGAAAATATGTGGCATAATGGAATGTTCTTCTTCTGGGAACATCATTTGTGACAATTATTGCTACACATAGGCATATCTTCATATTTGAGCTGTCAGGATTGCCTCCTGATTGAAGTACATGCCAGAAATCCCATACTTGTTTCTATGCTTTTAATTGCTTGTTTTTCTGCAGAAAACTCATATAAGATAATTAATTGCTAGTTAGTCAAATTATTAGGTCATCCTATATGTTTATGGAAGTTGAGTTAGTTTATCTTTGGATTATTCTAAGATTTTGATGTGTGGAAATTGTGAAGGTTGTATCCACCTTTTGCAACAGAAAATCTATTGGTGGTTAGTAAGAGTCAGTTGTGGGCTTGTTGACTAAAATCCATAGCAAGAATAGATGATTCTAGGATCACTATATCTATTATCTTGATTCTTCTCTTCCCTGTGCCAGGTCTACAGTCACTGTCACAGGCTTAAGTTGGAAGTATAGTAATTGTTTGGGATGGTTTTCCCTTGTCACTTATGTAATCTATCACACTAATCCCTCTGTTTGATAATTAAAGTCAATTTCTGAATTTCTGAGCATTAGATTAGACAACTCCTTTAACTAGGAAATTCATAAGACCATTTTAGATCTAAAATTTTCAATTTTGAAAAACTGTGGGATGTATCAATAATTTTCTTGATGACTTACATTCTGTAGAAATTCTATCTTGAATTTATGATCAAGATATTCAACTAGTATTGTATGGTTGATGGCATCCATAAGGCTTAGTTTTCCATCACTGAATTAATGTGTCTGTCGGTGTTTGAAAAACTCCTTCATTCCCTACACGCCAGGTGTGATCTCGACATCCTACCCGCATTTGAAGAAGAAAAGTTTTGTGGGATTGCTTGGTTTTTGATGCTATTGGTCCTAGATACACAGACATGCACTTGTGGCACGCATGTACTCACTCCCAGCTTCTCTTCACATGTATGCAACAAAAAACGAGGCTGTCTACTTTATTGTAATCCGGATTGATAGATATATTAATAGGCTCCCCTTGAGAGAATTATGAAATATTCAAGGGGCAAAACAGTATTAGTTAGAGTTCTTTGCGGATAGATAGTACTCCTCGTCGGAAACAGCCTCTTTACTTTCTGGGATAAAGGAATGGCTGTGAACATCTTACCCTTCTGATTTACTGGGCTCGTTTGGTTGATAGTGTGCCTTGCATTGGCAGTGATACTAATGACCTTGGTGCCCCTCGAAGAGAAATTTTGAGAGAACGTTTCTGCTTCCAGCTGGTAAGTCCTGCATTTGTAGCAACACTTAATGACCTTGGATTTCCCTTATTCAAGGGGTAAAATGGTACAGCCCGAGCTTTTCACTTACAGATGATATGACGGTGCATTGGTAGCGACTTGTAACACAAACTAGAGAAATCCTGAAGCATTCTAGTGTTAAAATGGTACAAACTGATCCTTTCTGCTTATAGATAGTAAGACATGAATTGATGGTGATACTGATACCAGATAGCCCTAGGCTCCAGTCGAGATATTTTTGAAATATATAAAGGATAAAATGGTAAAAGTGCAATGCCATTTTGTATAGGGCAAAATAGGGTAAGGGTCACTGATGGGTGTGTGAAGATAACTTTCTTGTGTCTCTCGTTTCCCTGAATCATGCTGAAAGTGACCTAAAAAAATGGGCATGTTGGCCTGTTATAGTGCTGGTACCTGTTTTTATTGAATAATTTGCTTGTATTTTTTTGGCGTCTTCGCACACGAAGGAAGTAGGTGAGGCATTGAGATACTTGACCATGGATTTTTCTGCTTAGATAACATGTACCATTTGCATTACAATTTGTACCTGCTAGCCAGAATCCTAGTTACAAATGGAGATTGCTTCAATGGAATTTATTGCCAGTAATACAAAATGAAATATCTGCATAACAAATGTCGCTCTAAGTGATTTGTGCCATTTGGTTATGGAATTTGACACCCAAATGTACTCTTTGCTACTGCTGAATGTACAAGTGATGTGAAGCATGTGTAGAATGCATCCGGGGAATTGAGCGTGCAGTGCCAAATCCAGTTTGGCCTCTGTGTGCATCAGACCCCGCACCCGCCAGCTTGGTGTCGGCTTGGATTTTCGTGATTGGGGTGACAGATTCCAAGCGGCGGCACCATTCTCTCATGGTGGGAGCCACCATAACTGCTGCCTTCTCGCCACCACCTGCCACACAGTGTTCATCACCAGAAACTCTGACAGCTTTAAGATTTTTACACCCCGAAAGAATGCCAGAGCCTTTGACTCTCTCTGTTTCTGCTCCTGCTTTGACTCTTTGTATTACTGTCGAATCCTCAACAGTCGAGAAGTCTGCAACGCTAGCAGTAACGACACTCCAGTCGACGCTTGCCTCGCTTGGGGCATACCCGTTTGCATTGCTTGGCCTTCCATCATTACTCTCCAATGCTTGCTTAGCAAGAAACGAGTTATTCTCATTGGTTGAGAAGCTCTCGATCTCAAATAAATCCGAGCTTGCATCACTTGCTGCATCATTGTGTCCCCCATTCCTAGAAATATCCATAACTTCTGCTCTTGGAGTAACGCCATCCCAATTCAACATGGTCAGTTTCCTCTCCAGACTAAACGACTTCTTCCCTTTCTCCAAAACCGGAGAACCGAACACCTCCGATGAATTCTCTCGGGCTGTAATCCTTTTTTCCCGTTCAACTTGTGGCCGCAGCTGCGGATGGTTCCCATCTGGCATTGAAGAATTGAGCACCGGGAAGGTGAAGCAATCTTCTCTTTTACTATTCATCTCATTCTTCTTCCTATGAACATCCTCATCAGCCCATCTGCTCGACAACGACTTTGTCTTCTGACCCAAATCAGCAACAGCTTGAACGGGCAGTTTTGCAGGTTCTTTGACATAAACTTTGGTTTCAGTTACGTCAACAGAATCTTTATCGTTGCAATTGCACACAAGGCTGGCTAGCAAGCTTTTGACAGTGTTTTTCTTTTTATGATCATTGGCATTAGTAGCCAATAAGCCTTTTCTACTATTCCAACTGGACTCGGAACGAACACTGGGAGTTGTGGAATGGGTTTTTGGTTTAGGAGAAGGGCATGGTGGTAGCTGTGGGGTGTTAGAAGAAGGATAATGAGCAGCAGGGTGGTTGTTATTGGAGGTGGTGGTTAGAAGAAGATGATCATCAATGGCTCCTGTGAAGTACTTTTCGGCTCCAAAAATCCCGATTTCATCGTCTTGTAGGTTGCGTTTTTGAGGGGATTGAGGAAGTTTAATGGTGAAGTGGTGTTGTGGGTTATTCAAGTAGGCATCCATGAGAGTGGTGTTGTGGGTTCTTTTGTCTGTGGTAATCATAGCAGATTGTTGGTTGTTATAAAGATGAAGGAGGAGGAGAAAGTGGATATGGAAAAGGGTTTTAGGAATTTGATGATTAGAGTGAAAGGGATCAAGAGTTTTAAAAGTAGAAATGGAGATGGAGATGGAGATGGAGATGGAGATTGTTATATATCATAATAATAATAATAATAATAAAAGAAAAAGGCATTTTGTGTGGTTTGTAACTAAGCCAACAAATTGGGTTCCAGATTGAGGTTGAGCTTCAGACATATGGATAAATAAGACATGGTATTGTTTCAACCTCTATTTATGTTAGTCGTGTTTCTGATCTGTTTTGGATGGTTTAACTCCCAAACCACACACCAAACCGCAAGTCGGGAATGGCGGTTGGCGACTTGGGCTTATTATCGGTTTTAAACCAAAGGAAAACCATAATATCTATCTCCAAAATTAAATTAGTAGGAGTTGTTTGTTTATCTTTTAATAGTTTCATTAAAAGACAACATTTGAATCGTGAAGAGGTAAATCTTGTTTGACAAAATTTTTTTGTCTCTTAATTGTTCTAAAACTCTTTGAATGTTTTTTTTTGAATCTTGGGTCTCTCTTAACCATTCAGCGTCCTAATTTCATTTTAAACAGTTACCGAACACTTATATTTTATTTTGCACTATATCATAAGAGTTTCCTAATTATTCTGACCACTTAATCATTCTACACCAAACCTTCAACAAATATCAAACAACTTCTAAAAAATATAATACCGAATTACAAAAAAGTTATATATATATATATATATATATATATATATATAACTCTCTCTCTCTCTCTCTTTTAAAAATTAAAGTAAAAACATTGAGCAAGTTGAAAAAAAGTTAAACAAGTCCACAGATAATAGATGGAATTTGAACAAACATTGAAGTTGAATAAAACGTTTGAAATTTTAGATTTAGATTTTTGACGGATTTCAGAATTTTGCGTATTTAGGGAATGCAACTAGTAACTTAATATCTTGAACGGATCCACCCAGCAAACTCTTCAAACCACAAAAACCGGTCCCGTTTAACATAGTTCGATCGGTCCGGTTCTAAACACCATTTAGGTGCCTAACTTGATGGCTTAATAGAAGGAGACACGATATATTTGAAATCTATAATTTGTGACCAATAGAAATTAGGTGCCTAATAAAACAAATTCATTTCTTTTTTTCTTTTTTCTTAAAATTATAATAAATCCACTGTCTAAATTCACATGGTCTGAATGAAGATGGAATGCATCGAGTTAATAAATAGCCTTCCCCCACAAGTTCATTGATACAATGATTTCTTTACAATTATTGTAATCTATATTATTATAAAGTATTTGACAATAATTCTTAAAAACTATTTTTTATGTTTGAAGTATTGTGTATTGATGCATATTACTTAAAATTCAATATTACAAATAAATTATGCGTAAGTACAACTTATTAAAATTACATGTTTGAATTCGTGTAACTAACTGCAGATAAACATAGTCAAATACAAGATAAACATTTCATTTTAAATATAAAAAATCTAAAAAGATAATTAGAATAATGATTGAGTTTTCTAACACAATATTTAATTATTATCCTTATAAAAAATTATATTATTAAATCAAAAATAAATTAATTTATTATTAGATCTAAATTAAATTATAATAAAAAAATTGAATTAAAGAAAGTACATAAAAACAAGAACTTTTAAATAATTAATTTGATACTAATATCGATATATTTATTTTCGAAATTTTATAATATTTTCAAATTTATATTTTATTCAAAGATAGAAACATTATCTCTTTCTCAAAACCACATATTATAACATCCATAGAGACAGAATTAATGAAATATTAAATTTGAGATATATCTCGTTAGATTGCGTGAGTACCCTCCTAATAAACATATAAAATATTCGATCTCACTTGATTTTTTTTTTTTTTTTGCCTCTTCTTTTATTAAAATAAACAACCAGAATCATATACAGTCATATATTTATCGATGGAATGAAGTACAACAAAATTATGACTTGAAAGATATCACATCACTACTCAAAATAAAAAAAATAACACCCGACATAAAAATATCTAAATTAGATCTCTGGATCTATTGAAAACAATGCGACCATCAAACACAAGTGACATATTAAAACAAAGCATTAATAATCAATAGACTATGAACAATTCCTCTAAATGTTGTCAAAACTGTAATAAATAATATTAATTATTGATGATATATGACCATATAAAAAGTGATTAAGAGATCTGATGGAACCACGATTGTGGAATCTATGGAAACCATTGATTGAAAAACGAACAACGATTTTGACAATACTACAACCACTGTCTTAGACCATCGCTCCAAATCATTTAACTGAATGCCCCACCTGAAGTGACATCTTCAAAAGATCAACCCGTTCGTCATGCTTCTACACCTTTTTCGTTTTTTATTATCTTACATTACTTATTCAACAAAAGTTCTACGACATCCCACGTTACCTTTGTGACAACCTGACATCTTCTTTTACATATTTTTATCATTTAAGCATTGTTTTCTCATAATTTCACTTATACCATTACATCAGTATAGCAATAGTTATATTTTAATAGTATCATACCAGCTTTTGCAGTTATATAATTTCATATTAATAGTTTACATTTATGAATAATAATAATAATAGAATAAACAATATAATTAATTAAAATAAACAATACAATAAACTAATATAATTAATTAAATTATAAATAAATTAATTTAACAATATAATTAATATTATTACATTAAAGTGACCATGCATAACATTGCATTTTGCAAGTGACATTTCTACTTTAGAAATAGAGTGCGAGTGTGGTCCATATGGCAATGCTATGAACATTTGCCAAAATTCTGAAAAACCCTGTAGCAAAACCTGTATGAACAGTCTTATCTTCTGTCTTTTTAATAATAAGCAGTCGACAATCGACACTAACATGCTCAGTTTCATACCTACCACCGTCATTTTATACGCATATCATTACCCACATAATAAAAAACAAGGAGTTAATTGTTTTAACTTTTGTTAATCTCAGTATTTTTATTAACACTAATTTTAATATTAAAAATTCAATTTATTATTTAAAAATATTAAAACTAATAAATATTATTTGGTCAAATTAGGTGGACTCAAAAACACCCCATATCCACTCAATTTTTCCATCAAATTAATTGTTGGAGTGAAGTATTTCCAATCAATGGCATGGGATGGCCCTTGTTCCCCCTCAATGCCCACTTTTTAATTTATTTGCTTTTTAGTTTATTTGTGTTAAGGTTTCTCCAAAACTATGTGATTGGTTACTACTAATCATTGAAATCATTTATATTTTTATAAAAATAAAATAATTTTTTTGACTGATTAATGAAATTTGGTTTAAAAAATAAATATCTGATGATTCATTTATAAACTAATGGGTTGTTTGGTACATAATGATTAAGAGGCTCTCATGATATAGTGCAAAATGAAATATAATTGTTTGATGATTGTTTACAATGAAATTAGGGCGCTGAATGGTTAAGGGAGACCCATGATGTAAAGTTATTCAAAAAAATTTAGAACTATTAAGAGACAGATTTTTTTTTTTTTGTCAAACAAGATTCACCTCTTAACGATTCAAATGTTGTCTCTTAATAGTTACATTAAGAGACATCCTCTGAATCGTTAAGAGGTGAGTCTTGTTTGGCAAAAAAAAGTATGTCTCGTAATGGTTCTAAAACTCTCTGAATGATTTTGAATCTTGGATCTCTCTTAACATTATGCTTCCTAATTTCATTGTAAACAATTATATTTTATTTTGCACTATGTCATAATAGGCTCTTAATCATTCTTTCTTTTGGGTACAAAAAAAGTTTCATGATTAATCAAATAATACTTTAAATTTTGTAATTTGGATCATTCTCGTGTAATTTTTCTTATCTTAGGGAATGTTTACCTAAACGTTTATCTAATAAGGGGTGTTATCTGTATGATTCTACATTCTCGCTTACTTATCGGTTAAGATTCTAGTTCATCAAAACGGTATCACATGCAACAATTTTCCCGGTAAGTGTTTACAGGATAATAATCGTTACCTTCACTTACCGGGTAAACTCTCGATCATTGACATCACACTTACCGATAAGATTCTTGATCCTAAGTAACTTAGTAAGCGTTTGGTATACGACCCCTTAATCCATACTTTTAAATGTTTAATGCATTTATTATGTATAATATTTATAATAAAATTAAAAATAACAAAATAGATTTATGAAAGGTGGATGCCTTATAAAACAAATATTCATAACCTATTATTAATACCATGAGCCCACTATTTTGCACACCCAATATTGAATATCCCTCTATATCTTCTTTGTTTTTTTTATTCATATAAACCAAATATATATAAATATATATATATATATATATATATATATTATCTTATAAAACAAATTTAACAAAAGTCTTAAAGTTTTAAAATATTAAATGACCAAGATACCCTTTATATCACTTTTTCTCTCCTCACATACACTCACCCTCTCACAATCCGATTTTTTTAAATTATAATTTTAAATTTACATTTTATACCTCTATAATTAATTAATTAATTTATTTTACGTCATTTGCTTTTAAATGTTTCATTTTAAACATTTATCAAATTAATATACATAATCGTATATCAATTAAAACATGTTTAAAAAATATATTTTTATTTTAACAAGTTACATCATTATAATAGTCTCATTAATATCTTCGAAATAAGTCCAATATTGAATAGTTTTTGACTTAATTATATTATTATATAATATATATACTGTGAAAAAATATTTTTAATATTTACGATTTATACTTTTATAGTTATTTATTTATATATATACTATATATTTTGGGGTTAGGCTGTCCAAATTGCACTGTATAATATGTTCTGAATTAATATGTTCTTATGTTTTTTTGAAATATATATATATGTACATGTATTAATTCAACCTTAATATGAGTTTCTGGACAAGAAAGAGGGTAAGCAGTTGATATTTCATTCTAAAACCATCTTGTCTGGTCTTTTCATGGCTTATGATTTGTCAAATTTGTAGTTTTCTTTATTTGTTTTGAGTGTTTATCTTAAAACTCAAGTTTCTTGGTTCTTTACTCTTGGTGTAAATCGAACACATTTGTGGAGTCGTTTAAATATGTTGGATTTTAAATATATTTGATTTTAAACTGTCATACAATTTTTTCATCGATGGTCTGTAATTGGAACCATAACTCTTATTTATTCAAATTGTATTAATATGTAAAGACCAAGTGTAACHTATATCATCGTTAAATCTTATYTTATAAAAYCAGTGRAACTTCAAAATCGTTAAAATTCATGGCTCCTGCCGCATTGTGCGGGTACACAACTAGTATATATATATATATATATATATATATATATATATATATGGGTCCAATCAAGGGAGAACTCGATTGTTTGTGATAACTGTGAGATCCAATCTCAACCACACATTATTAATAATCAATTATTATTATTAAACATATTAATTTTAGTAATTATTCATTAATTTTCAAATAATTTTAATTTACTGATAATATATAGGGGTAAATTAGTCTTTTTAAAATCTCTCTCCTCTCCCCCCCTCCCCCTCTCTATCTCTGACCAATAATTTTTAACAGTAAAACACAAAACAAATTTAATACACGCTGTGATACCTAAGAATTTATAACAGTAAGACGCAAAACCAATTGTGTTAAACATTGTGATACCACTATGATAACGTTTTGAATATGGGTTGATGATAATAGATGTGATCTGAGTTTTAGGCCACACAAATCACAATGTGATACACGATTGTGATACAATTTTGTTAAAATGATCAAGGAAACTGAATCTTGATAATTAAGGAAACCGAATTTGATAACTATTAAATAAGAAAAATATTTAAATTATGATTAATCATATTACTAAAATGTTCTTTACATGTCAATTAAGATAATACAATTAATATCATAAAATAATTGGTTCATATTGTATCTCACGGTTACCACAAATTAATGAGTTCTCATTTAGTTAGACATATATATATATATATATATATATATATGTGTGTGTGTATGTGTGTGTGTGTGTTAGATTTTTTATTAATTATTGTGGTTGGATAAGTACCTATTCAAATAATTAAATGTGGATTTTAAATAATAAATTCTTTTATAAAATCGGGGTATAAGTTTTACATATATCTGACGTCACTTGTACGATGTTATGGTATGTTGTTAAATTATATTTATTGTTAGCCTAATTTTGAGATATTAAAATAATTATTAGTTAAAGAATATATTTTAAATTAGAATAGATTTGCATTTATTTATAATAGTGGGCCAAATAAAGTGGGCTCACCGCCGGCGCCGACTATTTGGTAATAAAAGAATGATTCGTGGCCCAGCCCATAATTGCCATGGCCATATAAATCTTGCATCAACTCCCTCTTCATGTTGAGATTTCTAAAAGTTAGTGCCGGGTCGGTAGAAAATTGTTGAATGATTTGTTATAGAATAATTAAGTGGTTAGAATGATTAAAAAACACTTACGATATGGTACAAAATGAAATATGGTTGCTTGGTAATTGTTCATAACGAAATTAGGGTACTGAATGGTTTAAAGAGGCTCAGGATGCAAAAACATTCTGAGGGTTTTACAACCATTCAAAGAAGAAGAAAAATTGCTAGACAATATTCATTTTTTAACGATTCAGATGTTGTCTTTTAATGAAACTATTAGAAGGAAAATAAACAGGCTCTTATACTATTTAAAAAATGTGAATTTTTTTTTATTCAACAGCTATGTTGAACTCTTTTCTGATATAAAGAAAAAAAAAAGAGAATGAAGAAATCTTCGAATTTAGAAGAAAAAAAATGAAGAAAATATAGCATATATGTTGGAGATGCTCGTAAACCTACCTTACTTTTTTAACTTGTTCAAGAGGCTTGTTTAATTAATCATTGGAATTAATGTTTTAACAAGCTCTAGTTTTCTTTTCTTATTTTCATTCAATTGTATTCATAATTGTTATTCATCGATCAACTATCTAAGGATGTTTGTTTGTGATTTATACATTAAGATGACAGTTAAATTGGTTAGTCAGATGGAGTGAGCTTAATCCATTAAGCCATCATTTCTCCATGTCCTACCCTTCCTATCAGATCACGTACCTCCTTATCTCAGCTAAAACACTGTTTTCCCCTATCACAGTTCGTCGATATTTTCTCCTGTTGGAGTGAGCTTAAACCACTGCTCTCTCTTCCTCGTCTTGATTTTGTTGTGACGAACAAACATTGTAAACCTAAAATGAATGCACTGGTATTAAATGCCGGCAGAATTTCCACGAAATATATCGTTGATATTTATTTATTTGTAAATTTATTACATAATATAACTTCATAATAAGTTATTAATGGGTGTAATTCCACGCCAATTAATTACAAAAATACAAAAATAATAAAATACATTATTTAAAACCTAAAATTTTAAATCTCTATGTACTTACGCTACTGCTAAATGTACAAGTGATGTGATGCATGCCGCCCTTTCGACTCGGACATCGGGCACACATCCGACCCGTAGTTACGATCGAATCGGGTCACACTTTTCACTCCTCGAAACATACTTCCGACCGCCATAGATTCCGGCGACCGCCGCCGTCCTCCCGCTCCACCACCACTAACCTTACACTCATCTCCGGCCACTCTCACCGCTTTTTGATTCGTGCAACCGGAAAGAATTCCCGGCCGCTTCTTTTGTTCGTCTTTGTGATCCATACCCTGAACCTTCCCGCCGGAATTTCTCCAACCACCGCCACCTGTTCTCATCTCTTCGTAATCGGAAACCACCGAGAAGTCAGCGGCACTCGCCGTTACAATGCTCCAGTCGATGCTGACCTCACTAGGTGCGTAACAATTTGATTCCGACGTCCGGTGAGCTAAAAACGAGCTGTTTCCGGTTGTCGAAAAGCTTTCGATCTCAAACAAATCGGAGCTAGAATCACTATCGATATCGTTATTGTACATTAGTCTTGACGGAATGCACATATCGTCTTCCGTCGGAATATCCACGTCCCAATCGTTCAGCAAGCTTAGTTTCCTTCCAAGGCTTAAACGGCCGCCATTGTTGTCTATATGAACTTTACCCGCCAAGTTTTCAGATTTCGAATTCGAATTCGAAATTGAATTCGTATCATTCGCGTTTAATACAGGGAAGCTAAAATAATCATTTCTGGTGTTCTTCTCTGCTGATTTACTCGATAATGGGTCAGTTCTCTGATCGAAATCGAGTATTTTCGGGTGTGGTGGCTTCGAGATTTCTTTCGTCTGAATGAATCTTTTCTCACTGATTTGGGTCGATTTCTTATTAATACAATTGCAACCAAATCTAGAAAGCAAAATCTTGGTTTTGCTTTCCTTTTCGATCTTTCCAGGAGCTTGTTTCGTATGGGGTAACAACCCACTGCGACTATTCAAGCTGGCATTTGATCGAACACTTGGTGTGTGCATGCTTATTTGATCAGTCCTTTGTTTTACAGGAAAACTATGATCAAATTCTTCAATTCTTTGGTCTTGATGATGAATCTTGATTGCACTATTACTCGTATCAAGAAATCTTCGATTATTCTTACCATCCCCATCTTCAATTTCCCCTTTGAAGTACTTTTCTGCACCAAAGACGCTAATTTCTTCGTCGTCTTCTTCTTCTTCTTCTGATTTCTTAGGATTAGGATAATGGTGATGATCTTTTGGGGTATCTGAAGATTGATTTGTGAGCTTCCGAATCATGTTTTCTTCAGCGTTATTCAAGTAGGATGAAAAAGAGACATCTCGAAAACTGTTTCGTGGTTGGAGTGTAAGACTGGTTTCAAAAGATGAAGCAGAAGTATAGATTTCCATGGAAGTCGGCTGAAGCAATTAAGAACAAGAAGATCAACGAAAGAAGTGGGAAGGGTAGAAACTGGTGATTAAAGATTTGATGGGGTTTCAAGAGCTTCAAATATTGAATTACAGAAAGCGATGTTGAAGGTGTTTAATGCAGAAAGTTACGGGATTTGAAGAAGAAGGGAAGCAACTTGGCGAAATGAGAACCATTTGTAGAAGAAGAATGAGTTATTATGAGAAAGATGAGTACGGTCCACATGCATAAATTGGTGTCATTTCTGAATCTTGATGAGACTTTTCTTTATTTGTTATATATATATATATTGATTATTATAAAACCTTTTGATATTTATACAACTAATAGAATTCAATCTTAACCGTGTATTTTATTTGATTAATATGTGATTTTATAGAAGTTTTGATTGTTACCTAATATAAAGTATTGATCATAATTAATATATCATATTCATCTTTTATAAATATTCAAATCATAATAAATAAACTCTCGTCATTTCCATAAATATCTTAATTTATTAGGTTGCATTGGTTGTACAAATACGATGAGTTGTATTTGAAACAAACTATATATATATATATATATATATATATATATATATATATATATACATACTAGAAGAGTATTGGGGCAATGCAACTAGACACATCTCGATTTTAATGTTCTATTTTATTACTTATCTCTGTCGATGTTATAATATGATTTTATATGTTTTTAGAAAAACAATAATTTATTTTTGAATAAAATATAAATTTGAAGATATTATAAAATTTAAAAAAAATATATATCAGTGTTAATATCAAATCAACAATTTAAAACTTCTCATTTTTAATTTTTTATTATAATTTAATTTAAGTTTAATAATAAAATAATTTATTTTTGTTTTAATAATATAACATTTTATAAAGATAATAATTAAGTATTCTTATTCTAAAATATATAATTATATTTTAGATTCTTTATATTTGAAATGAGATTTTTATTTTGTATCTGATTATGTTTATCTGCAGTTAGTTACACGAATTCAAATATAGAACTTTAATAAATTGTACTTACGCACAATCTACTTGTAATCTTGAGTTTTAAGTAATATGTATTATTTGACAGTACTTTACGCATAAAAAGTGGTTTTTAAGAGTTTTTGTCAAATGCTTTATAATATAGTATAGATTATGTGTTTTTAAGAAAAAATAATAATATTTTTATTTTTGAATAAAATATAAATTTAAAGATATCATAAAATTTTGAAAAAGAAAATATCAATGTTAATATCAAATCAACTATTATAAAGTTCTCATTTTCATGTAATTTTTTAATTTGTTTTTTTTATTATAATTTAATTTAAGTGTAATAACGAAATAATTATTTTTGGTTTAATAATATAACATTTTATAAAGATAATAATTAAGTATTCTCTTAGAACTAAATGATTATCCTAATTATATTTTCGATTTTTTATATTTAAAATTAGATGTTTATCCTGTATTTGATTATGTTTATCTGCAGTTAGTTACACAAATTCAAATATGGAGCTTTAATAAGTTGTACTTACGCACAACCTACTTGCAATCTTGAGTTTTAAGTAATATGTATTAATAAACAGTACTGTACGCATAAAAAGTGGTTTTTAAGAGGTTTTGTCAAATGTTTTACGATATAGTATAGATTATGTGTTTTTAAGAAAAAAAATTATGATTTTTTTTGAATAAAATATAAATTTGAAAAAATATATATCAATGTTAATATCAAATCAATAATTTAAAAGTTCTCATTTTTATGTAATTTCTTTAATTTATTTTTTATTATAATTTAATTTAAGTTTAATAATGAAATAATTTATTTTTGGTTTAATAATATAACATTTTATAAAGATAATAATTAAGTATTATGTTAGAACTCGATGGTTATCCTAATTATATTTTATATTTAGAATGAGATGTTTATTATGTATTTGATTATGTTTATCTGCAGTTAGTTACACGAATTCAGATATGAAGCTTTAATAAGTTGTACTTACACATAATCTACTTCCAATCTTGAATTTTAAGTAATATGCATTATTAAACAGTACTTTACGCATAAAAAATGGTTTTTAAAAGTTTTTGTCAAATGCTTTATAATATAGTGTGTGTATATATATATATATATATCAAACTAATGAGGTGAGTTATTATGCAACCCTTTGCATTTGTATAACCAATACAACTCAATCTCTACCGTTCATTTAATTTGATGAATATTTGATTTGATAAAAGTTTTGATTGTTTCCTAATATAAAGTATTAATTACAATTAATGAACTCTAGTCATCTCGTATAAATATTCAAATAATAATAAATAAATTCTCATCATTTCTATAAATATCTCAATTAATTGGTTTGCATTGATTGTACAAATGGATATAGTTGCATTTAAAATATACCCTATATGTAATTTATGTCGGGTTTAAAGAAAAATAAAAAAAAACCATCTTGATTTGCATGGTATGTGCACATGTATTGTCACGTATATACATGTACATGACAAGCACTCGTCCATAGAAACCATATTGTATTCACATGAACATATCGTACAGATGAATTGTTATTAGGGTCAGGGACAGACCCACTTTAATAGATATGGTGGCACGGGCCACCGCTTCATCTCTCCGTCAATATAAAAAGTTATAGGGTCGTGGAAGGTGTTACTGTATCATTTTATTTTGTTCAACCGTATATATTTTGAAAATACAATAATAACACAAGTTTTTCTTGGAAGAGTTGGTTTGTATGGTTTTTCTTCCGCCTTAGATCCAGGTTTGAATTCTCTTTGTGTCATTTTTATTAGTTTTTAGCTTTTAAATTCAGACTTATTATGTTTCTAATTGTAACAAAAGACTTGAACACAGACGCTCGAGAAAAGGTTATTTTGTGAAAAATTGTTTCTATCTTTGTTTATTGTAATCAAATGGGGCCACCACTTCCAGATCCACGTCAGTTATTGATAGGGTGAATAAATCTGCATCACCTACAATGGAAGTAAACATGTTAGTAAGAAAACCTTCTTCAAAAACAATTATAGGCCCATATCTGATTAAGGTGTTCTTTATTTTTTCATTTTTTTTAGGGTTTCCCTTGAACATCACTTTATAATCTTATTCAAATAAATAGATGATCACGTAGGTTAAAAGTAAAAAATGATAATTGTTTTCCCAAAATCATACAAAAGAAGAACTAAGATTGAGACGTTTGAACGACGTTTAAAATTAGTTAAATAAAAGACAAATGATGACAATAAGAATTGGTGACGGAAAAAACCACCGTTAGTCGTAGGACATACCATGTGACTAGCGACTAATGACACCAAAAAGAGGATGTCGCCCTTTTTACAATAATATCGTACGAGACAAAAGACTGCTAAAAGTTTAAGCAATGCCCAGGGGAAAAAATGAACTCAAAGAACTTGTTATCAAGAATTTTTCTCTGAAAAGCAATGTGTGTAAAGTAATATGATTCTTCTCAATATTTTTACCCTTTTCAAGATGACTGTTGCATATAGTATGCCTTCATCACGTTTCGACTCATCACCAGTACTCGTACAGTTACTTGTCGTCGGTCACGATCTGGCCTCAAAGAAGAAATTTGTTGATAATATATCTTCTTTATTGCATCGTTAATAGAGTGGTTACTTGCTCTATTCAAACGAGTCTTCAATCATCGTCCTTTATGAATATGGTCCTTGGTTGATGTCGAAAGACCTTTGGTCGCGAGTTGTCAATTGTAATGTTGTCCAACTTATGACGTCAATCATGAGTTTCTTTATCCAAACAGTAATATAATTTTACATTCATCCCTTTATAGCTTACCAGTGTATGGAAGTAAGATAAATTTGGTCCTACAGTATAGTATTTGGGTCACTGGTAGAACAATTAATCAAAAGTAAAACAAGACTTCAGACTTAAATATCTTTTAACATATATATATATATATATATATATGTGTGTATTTAAAGATGATTGAAATTTAGAAAAGACAAATTTGAATATATTTGGAGAAATTAGTTTAATATATTTAGAAAATGGAGTTAATGTTTTGGTATAAATACAAAAAGAGTGGGGGCATAGAGGAAGGGACCACGTCGGCTTTGCCATCTTGTCGAGGGGGCTACTTGTTATTATTGCTTCATAACATGATGTATAGATTTCAGTGCCCCTCTTTAATGCTAACTTATCTTTTACGCCTTCTTTCGTTTTATTGCAATTATATTTAATTTTTTTTAAATATTTGTTTTTATGATAAATAATTTATTTGTTTCAATAAGACGCGGACATAATGAAAAAATCTATCATACTTCCACGTTTTATTTGAAACTACTTTTAATCAAATATAACATTTAGAATGTGAAATGAAAATCAGCAAAAATCAAATAAAGGTTTGGAAAGTAAATGATGTTTGTTTCGTAAAATGTTTTATAAAAAAATAGAATATGTTAGAGGAATTTGACTTTGAAAGATTTGAAATGAAATTTGATCACTCATTTCATTGGAATAAATTGGAATGAAACTTGTCAAAATGATCTGGGTTCTACTTGTTTGCTTGGTGGAATGTAGCTTCGAAATTGGAATGAATAAACGACAAATGACCCAAGTACCCATTTTTATAACGGTGGTGGTCGGTTGTGGTTCAAAACGGTGGTTCAATCGATGGTGGTTCAGAACAGTGGTTTAGATTGGTGGTTCAGATCGATCATGGTTGATGGTGGTCAACAGTGGTTCAAAACGATGGTGGTTAGCGGTGGTTCAAATGGAGGTCATACAGGTCTGGGTAAATCAAAAAGGGAAAATGAGGATAATTTTATCTTTTTGAAAAAAATAGGATAGAATGAAATGGAATTGAATTCCTTCTCAATTATGATGGAATGACCAAATCCATGAATGATGGAATGTGTGGAATTCAGTTCCATTCCATAGGTAAATTAAACGTCTGATTGAATTTGATCAACATAATTGATCGTTCTAATTCCTTCAAATTCCACCGAAATCCAGTGAACCAAACGCCCCCTAAGATATAAGTAACCTAGGGATTACTTGGTTGGTTTTCCTTAAGTCTTGTACGTATAAAATTATCTATATGAATTAATACGTTTATTTGGAAGGGTTTTTTCCATAGATGAAATAAACATATTTTTGGGAGGAAAAAACTTGTCTTTCTGCATAAAGCTCTCCAACCAATCATTTTGATCTCTGTATCTATCAATCAACCTGGAGAACATCAAAACAACTCAAGCACTAGTTTTGTTGTCATCTAACTTTGGGTTTTAAAGCAGAAAACAGGCCACGAGGAACGATCACAGTAGATGCCAAACCAAGGTATTGACTTGTGATCAATTGGTGGTGGTGGGCACCCTTCTTCTGACGATGCAAAATGCTCATCAACGACCCCAGGGAACATGCATTCACTATAAAATGGTGAAACTACAACCCCACCATAACCATCTTGTTAAAACTCCCACCTGTTTAGGCCAAAATATTTGCACACACAGGGGATCCTATGCTTCCGATTTCGCTAGTGTCCGTTTCTCACGGTCATTTTTGTGCACCAAAGTAGCCGGAAAACAAAGATACCCTACACAAGAACGGTTGTCGCACCAAGAAACAAGAAACACACGTGCAAGTGTCGGGGGGCCTTTTTCTTTAAAAGATAAAAAGACCGAATTCAGAGCGATGTGAAATGTCCAATGCACGACTAAAAAGTCGAAGATGCGTGATTGATCTAGATAGTGTCATGCTTGATCTGGAAAATGTCACAATTATTGCAGAGACTATATCATTACAATAAAATCGACTTTATACAATGCCAAATATGTCTCAAAAGTGTAAGACACTTTATTTCCAAAGTGTAGCAAAAAACTTGTTTAGACGTCCAAAAATGTCTTATTAACTTACTGTAACAGCTTTACATATGACACATAATTGTTTGGTCATATAAACTTAAGTCCTATAAAATAATCAGTTTAGATATATAAAACATATCTGGGATACTCAATTTGTCTAAAGCTCAATCCTTTGTGCAAGTGAACCCTAAACCCTGAACCATGAACCAGTGTACGTAAATGGTTGTTCTTTAAATTATGCCAACTATCGGAAAACGATGAGGGACAAAAGATGGGACTTTGGAACAAACCATTTCTTACCATTAACTTAAAAGGGCTTTTGATTGTCTTACAGTACAACAAACAGATATCATATAAGGCTCTTAACTAATGGTAACTCAGCAACTAAAGAACATAGATTAATCGACCCTTTGCTATGTATGAACCTCCTAAAAGGTGATACAGAGATTGCATGGAAAATTTGACGAGTTACCGTTCTGAAGTCGGATTTTCGGCGATTAGCGCGAGGACGTAGAGTTGTTAGATCCAACCACCCAATATTGTTTGACGGCAACTAGAATTTTCTCGGGGATCAAGGGACCGTCTTCGTGATCTATCAGTTTTGTATCCCATCGCATTGCCCCAACAATGTTTTTTACCTTCATGAGTACATCGACTTCATCACGCAGTATAACAGCGCCTTCTGGACGTAGTATTCGATCCATCTCTAGAAGAATGTCGTCAAAATTACATCTGCATAAATTTCGTTCAAAGATTTACGGATGAGACCAAGAATGTGAAAGACGACCATATTTTACACTTTGCAGCCGACTAAGGCCAACCATAAGCTGGCTTGTTTTTTGAGCGTATTAAAAAAAATCCAGTTTCATTAGACATAAGCTAACTTTCTGAAATACTAGTTCAAATAGTGTTTGAATAAGCTATAGGGTTTTTTTCCAAAAAAAATTCGATTATGCCCATATTATTTTTCTATATGTCCTTTTAGGTAATTTTACATAGTCATCTGGCTTATAAGCTAATTTTTACCAAACATGAGTAATTTCTACTTACCTGTCCTTGTATAAACTGAATAAACCATTAGCATGAATGAGATCATACGTCCGTGGGTATGTAGAGAAAGCTTCACACCTGCACAATACACCCAAATAAAAAATCTTACAAAAGCTAGAAAACATTGCATTAATCTCTTAGAACTCGGATTTGATATCAAATGAAGTTATTGTTTGGATTTGAATAGCTTTACGTTTGATTGGAAGTTATTACGATTAAGCTTAAAATCGAGGCTCAAACCATGCTTTAAAACCAAGACCGGAGCAGCCAAGTTGCAAGCTTTTGTCTACAATTAGTTCCAATTTCAAAAAACCGAGAGTTTAGATTGGTTCCCATGGACCTTTTTTTGATTAACCTGCAACTCACTACGCGAGCCGACTAATTCCAGGGCAACCACCCGCTTCGCGGGTAGCTTGGAGTCACCGCATTTGAACCTCCATGGCCACAAGGGAATTTTTATTCCTCCTTGGATTCAAATCTAGGACCTCTAGGCACTTTTGATCTTTGGAGCCCAAGCTCAAACCAATCAGGCACCACCCTTTTGGTTGGTTCCCATGGAATTCATTCAGCATGATAGGGAAAGCCAGACAGAACAGAACAGGACAAAACAAAAAATTGTGGTCCCAAGTTTGGAGTAGACTGGGACAGGACAGGACATGACAGGACTGAGTAGGACAAAAATGGATTTTTTTCCCCCACCAATATAGGTGGAACAAAAAAGAGACTAGATAGATCAAGATTGGTAAATTACAAAACTACAATATTTGGCATAACTTTTATGTGGAACAAGCCTATTCCACCCTAGCCTATGGAACAAGGTGGAACGAACCTATATTTTATCAATATAACCTTAAAATAAAACTAAATTCTCTTCTAAAACATCAAATGTGCATCACTCTTTACATTTTACTTATTGTATTTTATGCTCTTTACATTTTCACTTTCCTGTCCTCAAAATATTATTTTTATACGGTTTCTATATTGTGATTAATTATGTTATTTATTATATAATAATAAAAAAATAATATAGAAAGGGTATAAAATAAAAACTGGAAACAACATAAGTTTTTTTATTTTAGTTTCATTTTAATCGTCTTGACAAAAACTTTCAAAAGATATATTTTTTGTAAGAAATATTTTTTTCATTATAATTTAATAAATGACTAAATTAATCACAATATATAAACAATTCATTAGAGGTATATTGGTCATTTTATTTGTTTTGTCCTGTCCAGTTCTGTCTTACCAAATGCTGTACAATTGTTCTGTTTAGTCCTATACTGTCTGCATACCAAACGCACCCTAAAGGACTAGTTACTCGGTCTTGGACTGCACCAATAGTGTAATATTCATCGTATATAATGTATGAAAATTCAAGAAGCAGTTATTGATCTTGTGAAGCCCTTACAACCGAAAATAAATTTGTAAGACGACAATCATACCAGTCATGATAGATGCCAATAAGTCCACGCTCGTATATAACTCCAAGAGTGTTCTCTGCCAAAGTGGGAACGACGTTCATAACCCATAACTTGGGAGAGTCAAGAGCAGCAGCAAACCCTCCAAAACCAGCATTCATATCCATGATGTTGCGATACCTTCCGGAGGCAATGATTCGATTGATCCTTTTGTAAGCATTTACATGTTTCTTCCATTGTCTGTTATCCTCCATGTACTTATCTGCAGAAACTCCTGGAATGGATCCAGAAGCAATTCGTGGTGGGATAGCATTAAGCCTTTCAGGGAACGGCTTGTATTCCACATCCTCTGCCTTTGAATTGGTAGGAGTTACACATTTCTCCATATTCTTGTACCTAAAACACCGAATATATAGTACAATGGGTTGATTTTAGAATCTAGAAAAATTAAGAACAATTTTTGGATGAATTTCCACATGAATTTAGGGGTTCTTTGTTGAAAACAAGAAGCTTTAAGCTTTGAATCTTCAAAAAAGTATCGATAATAACATCAAGGTGATCATACCAGACATCATCTGGATCTTGGGAGCAATAYGTAACACCCGGAGCATYTTCTGTGGCACGRCATGMTTCSRGATTTAATTTCTTCTGCCAAATAGYAGTTTCTCCACTCTCRGATRTTTTCTCCCAGCATAGAAGCTTAGMAACCTYTTCRATACTCCTCTGTTCTTCCTCAAGATCCTCCTTTGGACGCTGCCACGATTTGTAGTTGTTTCTCCAATTAATTGGTGGACCCGAAAGCACCCAGAAGCCACCAGGTCTAAGAACTCTATCAACTTCCATCATGTATTTCCCATCTACACACAGCAAAATCCAGAAAGAAAAATCAAAATCATGAAGCCATCAACAAATTAACTTCCCAGCACCCACAATAAGAGTCCCTTTTCATGATTTTTTGTTCCATACTTCCATGAGATACTAATTGCGCGTATAAAATAAATATCTAGAAATAGAGTGATCGACTTCTTGAACCATCGCCATTTCACTTTTCATCATGAATAAATCATCATTCTAACAAAATGCAGAGAAAAAACACTACACATTGCAAGAATGAATGAGAATTGAACATAAAGTACCAAGTATTGTCCTTTTTGCATTTACATTTCCGCAATTTTGCCGAACATCAAATTGGTTTTTAGAAATTTGGCTAGTTTGCAACAAAGTCCAAGCTCAATAGTTCAAAAAGTCAATCACGCTTTGCAAATAGGGAAGGTTCTCACCATTTGATCCCCATGGAATCAAGCACCTTGAGCAGTGAGCCATGTCGAAAGCTTTAGATGGATATGGCATTTTTATTGAGCCAAGAACGCCAACAATGGCGGGTACACCTCTTTCGAGAGCAAACTGAACCTGAGCTTCATGATTATCTCTAGGTGCAAATGACATAGTTATAACATTTCTCTTCCAAAGGTATGCACCCCAACTTGCAACCTACAAAAATAAACTAACATTAGAAAAATCAAGAATGCTGGTTTGCTTGCAACAAAAGTCAAGTAAGATGGTTAGAAAAGTTAACCACATTTCAAGAAATATATTATATGAATCCAACGTACCCCACAACCAGTATCGAGGGCGGTCCTTACAGTCCCATTAGCAATTGGGATTACAGAAGCAAGTTGATCGATATAGGCATCCGCTCCTTGAGGAAACTGTGTCCCCCCACCTGGGAACCTAAATACGTTGCCCTCATACTGAATCCAGTTCTGAATAGCCTTCTCAACCGTCAATGCTTTATATGGTGCATTGGCAAAAGGAACATAATCGCGACTTTTAGGCCATGAAAACGGCGTTACATAACCTTTGGGTGCCGGAATCAAGCACTTCAACTTTTGTTCCTGAGGAGGACAATGTCTTTCTCTATAAATCATATCGTGTCTTGGGAACGTCATTGCTCGTTTCTGATCATGGCAAGGGGTATAATCGGTATAACGAGCAGAACATGGCTTAAAGTCTTTGACTTTTGTTCCTGACGCGTCAACAATCCCAGCATCACCACTGTGATGAGTCTCAAAGTTGAGATTTGGAAGAATGTTGCAATCTGCACCACCTTTGGTGGTCATCTCCAAAGCTATGCTATCTCCCTTTCCGAATCCACTCCTCTGCCATGCCCCCAATAGGTAGAAGAAACAACACAAACCGACAACTATAAATATAGTAACAGAACTCCTAGTCCTATTGTCTCCTGAATTCCCCTTTGTTACCATGATGCACCCTGAATTACTTTTTTCCAAATCAGCCAGTCAGTAAAAGAAACAATGAACCAATTGTTCAATTCATATAATTAAAACACACAATTGCACTAAAAGTCAAGAAAAGACGGATCCACAAGTGAATACACAATTGCACTAAGAGTCTGTTTGTTAGCAGCTTAATAAGCTTAATGGGACTCAGCTTATTCAGTCAGCTATACATAATTTTTTGGTAGTGGCTTAATGATATAGAAAGTGGCTAATTCGGTAAGCTTCTAGGGGGAAGCTTTATGTAGACAGCCAAGTTTTTTCCATCTATGAAAAAACCCTCCAAAACAAAAACCTTCTCAATCTATACAGACAGATTAATCCATACAGGGCTTAATTGAAAACCAACCAAACAACCCCTAAAAATAAATTGGGATTTTCATGACTCTATTAATGTGTCCCACTATATTCTACCAAACCTTGGATCCCCCTAACCATCCTCACTATTTTTCGCACCCTTATCAAAATGATTGACCAAGTTCTAATAACCTAACAGACAGTCAACCTAACTTATTGAATCAGCTTTGCAGCAAGCATCAACATAATGTAATGTGTCTGCAATGCAGGATTCATGGACTCCCATTCTATTCATATAGGTCAAGCACTATATAATCAACTAAATATAACCAACTAAACAAAATTAGCAGGCTTAAATCCAAATAAGTGCTCCTTAAATTTTGCAAGGTAAAAGCTAAACACAGACAAAATTAATAGCTCATAAGTGCAATCCTACATTACAAAGTACCAACCACATAATCAAACCATCATGTATGAAAACGATAACGTCAACTAAAGTAGCAGATTTCAGGCAAAAATGAAAACAAAAGAAACCCATTTCCACAAACACCTAATAGAATTCGATAAAAGTAAAAACGAGAGAAGAAATAGTATCATCGTACCAATCGCATCAGGGGTAATGAAATTAAGGTGAAGGAGAAGAAGCTCCAAGCATAGATTGTGATTATAAGAAAGTTGGTGTTGTGAAAATTAGATCAGAGTAGCGTAGATCTCCTTCCCTCTCATACGCACGATCGAGAGCAGGGTTGCGACCAAAAAATCTGGAAAGAGTGGGTTGGGATCACGATGTGAAATAAAATAAAAATTCAAAAGAAATTGAGTCGGTGGGTGAGACTTGAGAGGGTGCGTTAAGGACATAAAACGCGTTGCGAATGGCTAAAGACTAAAGTGACAAAGCTGTCATAGTTGGACATGGAGCATGGACCCACACCTCAAAGCCTTTTACTGTCCTTTTATCCCCTCCTTTTAAATTATTTTTAGATAATATCCGTTCTTAATTAAAATTTAATAAGTATAGCTAATCCTCTAAACTAGCCATTTTAGGATTTAATTTTATTGAGGTAGTGTTTGTTTTTTTAAGAGGTGTTCAAGTTTGAAGTCTGATTTTATTTTTTATTTATAAAATATGGTTTTGAAGTATGAAATCTGGATAAGTAATATTGTTTGTTTTTATATCTGAAATCTGATTTGGTCAAACTATTATAAAAATAAAAGAGATAAATATTTTTTTACAAACGTATAAAAGATAAATAATTTTTGCTAACAAATCACGTCTAGCCCCAAAAAATGAACCATTTGATAGAGGGCGGATTATGATTAAAAAATATTTAGGGATACGTCTACCAAGTGATAAACATGTTCAAATATATATAAATGTTGAATGTTATTAGTATGACAAAATACTCCATAAAGCCGATAACCAATAGAAGAGATTTCCGCTCTCATAAAATCACACAATTTCATAAAATGAAAATCGAGAGAGACGATAATATTTTCTTTTTAAGTATCAAATATAGTTAAAAAAAAAAACTAGTTGTTTATCTGTTTATTATTCGACAGAATATTTTACAATCAATAATAAGCATTTGGATTAACGAATAAGCCGCAACCAAACAACTTTTTATAGCTGAACGAATAAGCTATATCCCTTGTACAACCCATTAAGCTCCTTCCGAATGGCCCCTAAATGGCACATCGATTTCACCCACATTTTAATAAAAGTAAGTAACTACTGATACATTAATTATTTATAAAATAAGTTTAAAAAAATGTGTTATGGGTCAATCTAACCTAACTAATTTGTTGACAAGCAATAAAAACTTATTTAATTTGACTGGAACCTGGTTTAACTAATCAGCAACCTGCCGGTCGGATTTTGGCGTTTATACCTAAAAGTCATAATAACATCTTATTTGACCAAACACTAAGTTAGGTTTTATTTAATTCTCCTCCCACCAGTCTGACTCGATGTAACTATTAAATCCTTTAAATAATAGTTTGATGTTTGACATTGTACCAATATCAAGAAACCTTGAAATGAAGAGAGATTAATTATATATGTAACGATAATATAACATTATTGGTTGATTATTGGACATAGAAGAACATACAAGTACAAAAGTCATGCATTATGAACGAGATATATAAAATAAGTATCTAAAATGATATTTAATATAGAAACGATATGAGTAGACGATCATAAGCTATCGATCTCGCTGTTTGTCTAATTGGAAAAATAAATATCGTAAAGATTATAAACTATCGAGAAACATAGGGACTAACTGAAATAATGAGTCTCCCGATTTATGGAGGTTCATTATTAATTGCAGCTAAAGCTACGTAAATCAATAAGGTGCACGAAGGAAGGCAGCAGCAGTGGCTTGATAATTTGTTCTGAAGAATGAATTAAAAAAATGTATGTATCAACAAACATCAATTAAATAATTAAATCGTTAGAGATACATGAATATTTATATATATATATATATATATATATATATTACATGAAAATTATTTATGTGTGAAAGCCAAACTAATGGCAATATGTCTTATCATACAAGAATGAACCATCACAACAGCGAGTGCCCAAATATAGAACTGGTACATGTTGTTGAGACCTTTGCATCGTGTGGAGGGTGAGTGGTGGCCCATACTATACTATATGACAAATTTGAGATCTCATGGAAAGTATATTTGTGATGTGTATAGACGGATGTGAAGTTTATGTGCATAACTATTTTACAAAAGGCGTTCTTTTATTCTATTCACATGTTTATATGCATGAGACTGTGCTATTCTTGTAAAAAGTACACTTTGGTATCCTTGATACCATGCATGTACTCCATGTTACATGCCTGAAAACCATTATGTAACACCCCTAAAGTAGTTGTAAATTTAAATTAAAGAATAATTACATAAATGATACTTTGATAAATAGAATCACCCAAATAGTGGGGAGGATGTAAGCGTTTCCAATCAAAGTATAAGAATGGTAGCTAACAACCTAATAATTTAAACCAACTAGGTAAATATTAACATGGAGTGTCGCTACGATCATCAAAAGATTTCTAATCAATATGTAACGCTATGAATCTCCAAAAGTGTCGTCCCAAAATTAACATGTTTTGACTTTAGATGGTCCAAAATGTGAAATATATGAAATAAAAGCGTTAAGGTACTAAAATACATTTTGTTAGCATGTATATGGTTTTATAAAAGTGTCGGATGAACTCACAAATTAGGTTTTGAAGAAAACCTAAAAACATAGCAAAATGAGAAGGAAAATGTGTAGATCTTGATTCTTCAACCCCAACTCTTGAACTTTGATGAATGCTACCACTAAATGTTCCTTAAATGCACCCAAACTCGGACCTAGGGTTTTCTTGGGAGTTTTTAATTGGGAGAGTGTGGTGTGGAGTAAATGAGGAGAATAGGCTTTAAATCTTGACTTTAATGCTATGTAGTGAAATGTGACCCTAGGGTCACTAACCAAAGGTCGACTGCTACCTTGACCAAGCTTACAGTACAATAATTGCGACCCTGGTCTTGCGAGGGTCGCAGGTTGCTAAGGTCGCAAGTTCCCAAAACCAACACCTACCTACACCAAGTGCGACCCTTGCCGTACGACCCAAGGGTCACATAACCCAAACTGGTGTCTAAAAATTGTCTTAGATCAAACTTTTTTCAAAGGTCAAACTCTAAGCTTAAACCACCAACATAGAATTAGACATACAAAAGTAACAAAACTAAACAACGAGCTTAAACTCACAAGGACTTGATTAAAATCTTAATACTTGTGCTATGAAGTTTCGAGTGTTACACATTATCTTATTGATCACTTTATTAGTTGACTAGTAACGTGTATATCAGAGATATATAATATTGATAACGACCAAGGAAGAGATAAGGTAAAGTTAGGGGCCGTTTACCAAACGCTTATTGGATAAGCGCTTACCGACATGAATAACCACCCTTACTTACCTTATCGTGTTATGTTATCAACCATCAAAAAATGGATTTTTGATAAACGACTTTTACTTGGTAGGCGCTTACCGGGTAAGAGTTTTCTCTATCAATTACCGGGTAAGAGGACTTTTTTTCTCGTTTATGTAAGTTATTTTAAATTAAATATGTGAAAGACCATACATGTTTAAATCTCAAACATTTTCAATAGACCTAAAACCAAAATGAATTTAATTTAATACAAAAAAACCACAACATCATATAAGAATTAATAACTTGTAACAAAAAAAATCAATATAATCCAAAAAAACTTAAAGTCACATGTATCAAAAGATATCAAGTAATATAAAACCATATCGAGTAATATACAAAACTTATCGAGTAATTGTATTTTGACTTGACATCCAAAATATTATGTATTAACATGCAAAAAATAACAATTTTAGATTATAAACTTAGTTAGGAAATTCTGAATTACCGTTTTAGTTGAAATAAATAATATACATATATGTATGTGTGTGTGTATATATATAATTAATTAATTAATATATATAGCGGGTACATGACGGGGAGTACGATATCCCCTCTCATTCCCATCCCTGGTTTGAGACAAACAGGGATTCCGTCTCCATCCCTAATTAAGCGGGGAATCCCGTCCCGGTTGGGACGGGTGGACCGGATTTTCCGACGGATTGGGGCCCATTCCCATGCGTATATGACATGCTTTTGAGGATGTTTCGTGAAATAAATTATGCAAGTAGAGGACCGAAAAAGTACAGAGACCGATTTTATAAATTGATACAATTACAGGGACTGAAAAAGTACATATTTAATGTATAATTGAAACTTATCTTTTCCAAACCCCTGCCTTATCTTGGGAGCAGACTGAAGTAATCGGAAAACGCCTCTACAACAATGGCAGTGACGATTACCACCGGCACCTCATTGCTCTCTCAATCTTCATTAATCCCATACTCTGTAAAACCATCGAAAACCCTTATTTATTCATCTCACAGAGTCTATCATAGCGGGGTTTTAGCATCGCCATGCCTATCAAATCGAGCTTTGAGGTTTCATCACGCGAATTACAGAAACAGGGAAGCTTTGAAGAGAGGCCTCTCTTCGGTTTGCTTTTATGAGAATAAGGATTCTACAAACGGAAAGGTGATTTGTTTTTTCTTGAAATCGTTCTTAGGTTTATGGTTAGAAATTGATACTTTGAAATTTGAATGAGGTGTTAACAGACTGCTAAACCTTGTGTTGGATTTTATGGATTAACAGCAGAAATAAAACAAAATCGTATTTGTATGGGATTCAGGCCTTGTTCTATTACTGTTTTAATTCAACAACGTCGGAAATCGTACATTCTTAAATTTAGGTTATCCTACATCCCTCGATTAGATTCCAGTTTCCAAAACTTGACAACATTAGCCATATCTGTAATGGTGTTAATCTATATCGCTTACATAGTTACATTCGTCTTTTCATCAATATGTATGTATGTATGTATATATATATATATAGGGAGGTTTATAACGAGAACAGGGTTAAAATATGAGAACATGAGAAAGGCCAAATAGCATGTGATTTTACTCTTGGTGGTGACCTAGGTCACAGCCTCGCAGGTAAGTTGCCCGCACACCCTTGCTTGCATTGAACGTGTTCCGTGATAGCATGTGATTTCGGTAAAAAATCACATGCTATTTGGCCATTCTCGCTTATTTTGACATGCTAATGTTTATATATAGTTAGGGGTGCCTCTTTTCGTAGCCAGTTTTTTGGGAATTCGGATGGAAGACACTTTTGCATGGTATGAGAACCCATGATGTATCCACTTGGCCCTTTATGCCTAAGCTGCTGATATCTACAAATACTTGTGATGGAATAAAATGGATTCTATACAAGTGAGATTGTTAGGCTTTAGCACATTGCCTCAATTTTGCAGTAAAGCCTTTTATGTGACGATCCCTTTTTGGCGAAATTAACTCTACCATGGGAATGGAAGGAGCAGTCTTAAAATTTCTTTTTGTTTGTGAATATCCTAATATGCTATAACAACGAATGTCCTATCTGAGGTGGATCTTCCATGTGCCTTCACTTTTAAGAACATTATAATCTTGTTTCTTGAAAGATAGTCAGATATTGAATGGACTAACAACTCTGTTTGGTCTTTCTATAAGTTATGTTAGGTTGTTAATTTGCACATTTTTATGCTGACCCTTACGGTGGAACGGTCTCTAGGAAACTGTTGTGGAGTGGCCAATCCTGCAACGATGGGATGTACCATGGGAGTGGTATACAGTTTCACTGACCTCACTTGCTTGTGGATTAAGGTGTTATTCTAAGCTCAACCAATGGATATGCTGCATGCTATCTTTATTGCATGAGTCTTACTTTCCTTATAAACGGAACTTCTCGCATATAGCTTGTATATGCAAAGTATTGTACTATAATTCAAAAGATTTGTTTCGTCAATAGATGAAAGTTTGATTACCTTGATCAGTATTACATGGATATATGAAATATTAGTTGTCATTAATCCGGCATTTAGACGTTAAAAGTTCCAGTCTCCCTTCTTTGTTTATCTTTAAGAAGTTTTATCTTTATTCTTTTTTCAGTTCAGTATTTTCCTTGTGAAGGTGATATTTGCCCAGGCAGTTTTGTTTTGACAGGGCTTGTAGAGGCAGCAGCTATACCGTACCTTGGCTTTCAAATTGGAGAATTAAGTCTGGATGACAAGGCGGAAATTTTGTTTTTTGACCAAGCGTATGATTTCTTTATTTATTTTCGTCTGTGTGAGTTTACTATTTTGGGTTCTTCACTTGCACCTTTTCTTTTACCAAAATTTCCTTTTGTACTTCTTATTGACGAAGGTTTAATTCTCTGTTTCTTTATGTTTTTCAGCTTCACAACAGCTGTTGTACTTGTAACGCTTTATAGTGTCACCAACACAAGCAAAGAAAATCCTGACGACTTATATCGTTATGGTAATTAGCAAAGTTCTGTTATAAAACTTGACACTCTTTAATTTTATGTTAAAAAACTTATTTCTGTCATTTAACTCCTGTGGTTAAATGAAAAACATAAAATAGGTAACCATCCATACCCTAGTAAATTCGGAGGAATGGCTTTATTTCCCAAGATTGTCATTCCTCATCATACCCATTTCCTTTAAACGAATCAAGTGCCCCTTGGAATAATGGTTGACTTTTGAGGTCTAGTTTTCCTTGTTATAACCACGTTGCCTTTTGTGTTCATTACAAGCATATTGATTTTGTCATTTAGTTACATTACAGATTGGAGGGATCCTTTCGATCTTCAAAGAGGATGGCTATTGTGGGCTGGAATTGGTCTTGTTGGAGCCTTGGTTACTATCTCACTTGCAGGAGTAGCCATGTCCTTGTTCAGTGGTGAGGCACCTCAAAGAGAGGTCAGTGCTTAATTTATATTATTAGAAAGTCTCTTTTTTCCCTATCCCCAGAGGCTGGCAGTTGGCCCATCAATAACAAGGTTGTGGGGTACATGGCCGGCTAGGGGGTTTTTGGGATGCCAAGTGTTTGTGCTATATAACAAAAAGAATGTTAGCATGGGATGATGGGAGCGGTCCCAACTAACTGGGTAGATATGATATACAAAATCTCCTTCATGTATAGACACATTTAAGCTATGACTCAGTACTCACATATATGCATATATCTGTTTTGTGTTGCCATTGAGAGAACGCTCTTAACGCATAAGTGGAGAGACATACACACATGTTTCCTTATTCAACTGCAGGCCCACGATTCCATATTAATCCAATATCCAAGATGTAGTCGCTACTTGAAGGTCCCTATGCAGTAATCAGTACAGTGCTCAAAGTCAATGAAAACACAGCAAGAAATTTACCCAAATTAGTTAGGGCAGGCAATGCTCAAAACCAACAAAGAGAGTTATGTGAAAACTGAGATACATGCTTAAAAGCATTAAGCAACTTGGCAACGATATGGAGACTAGGTCCCAATTTAGTTAGGGCATGCAATATGATGATTCACGTATGCCTGGAGGAATAGAAAATAAGGTTAGGGGTGTTTTAGTAAACAGCCTTGCTCTTTAACAAAATGTCACGCTGGAAGGAAGCGGTTGGTGGCAAATAGTTTGTTGGAAGTTAGTTATACTACCATAGATGACTGGGTATAAAAAGAGTAGCTTGATTGTGAATAGTCATTGGAGTTTCTTTTCTAATTGTAAATGCTAGAGAGCCTTGAGGGTGTATCTATTTTCGTACCAATGATTTTAACCCACTTATGACCCCAATGAAGAGAGGCAAACGTTTGCATTTCTATTTATACGACCTTGGTCTAGTTTGGGTTTTCAATTTTGGGACTGTGATGACCGATGAGTTACTATTGTAAGCTATAATACTCATTTGTTAGTGTAATATTTACTGTATTGACTTGCCTCTGGCTTGTAATTCAATTGGCAAAGTGGTGGGGTGACTTTGCCCAAATACAAGACAGGTCCTGGGTTCCATCACAGGCTCCCCCTGCTAGCCTCAGCCGTTGAGTGAGCCAAAAAATGCCCCCTCACGTTGGTGTCTTGGAGGCAGGTCCCGTATGGGGCCGGTTGGGGTCGTTGGTAACCAACTTTTTACCCAAATTGACTGTGTTGACTTGATTTTGTTAACTTGGTTTCAGACTGATGCTCTTGTTCGCTTACTTCCATTGATCGGATCCTCAAGTATCAGGTGCATAACACAGCAGCCTTTGATTCTTTCAATCTTTCTTGGTTTTAGATAGTTGCTAAATAAGTCTACCACTGCTATGTTGTTAAGTATATTTGGATATTGATTTTTTTAATGATCAAAGACAAATGAGCTTCTTTCCCTCTCTTTTGCAGCACTGTTTGCCTGTTGGGCATCACAGGTGTCCTTGCTCCAGTTCTAGAAGAGAATGTGTTCCGTGGCTTCCTTATGGTGTCCCTTACCAAGTGGTATGGTTTATCTGTTTTTTCCTTTGACAACTGATATAAGCCTGCCAGTAATCTGTTTATATACAGAATACACACACACACACATATATATATATTTATATGCGCACTCATATGTATGTGTCTTTGCAGGGTGCCCACACCGATCTCTGTCCTTATAAGTGCTGCGGTATTTTCAGCTGCACATCTCACTCCTGGGGAATTTCCACAGCTCTTCATACTTGGTCCTCTTTCCGTCTAAAACTCAACTTACCTCAAATGAAAAAAGAAATATAATTTTGTGATTCAATGTTGTCTTTAAGAAGTATAAGGTAATGTAGGTTCAATGGTATATATTTGGAAGGAAATACACATTAAGGGCCTGTTTGTAGCACTTAATGAGCTTAATGAGACTCGCAGCTTTTTCAGTCAACTATACATGACTCTTTGGTAGTGGCTTCATGATATAGAAATTGCTTATTCAGTAAGTTTTTAGGGGATAACTTTATGCAGAAAGCCTCCCAATTAAAAAACATGCCCCTTCCATTTGCGAAAAAACTCTCAAACAAAAACCTTCACAAACAGATTAATTTACACAGACAGCTTATCCATAGAGAATATAATAGAAATTCAACCAAACAGCCCCTAAATGGGACCTAGATCCTTGTCTCTCTTTGAACCATATGAACTAGACCATTAACTTAAAAATTATATAAATCGAATGCAACTAAAATTTATACAAATGCAGGAACTGCTTTGGGGTTTTCATATGCCCAAACTCGCAACCTTCTCACTCCCATAACAATTCACGCTCTGTGGAATTCGGGGGTCGTCTTGTTGCTGACCTTCCTTCAGGTAAGTTTCCAATATTTGGTTTATCACTCCATGAAATTGCTTTGGTATATACTTATTGAATAGCAACTGACAGCAGTTTAAGAAAGTGTTGCACCATTTCTCAATTATCGTTTAAGACAACAACTAAATCTTTTAGAATTGAATCAATATCCTCAATTTTTTACAATGATGGTAATAGGAACATAGATAACTTGTACTTGAAAACACCTAGACCCCAATGTATGGTACAGTTGGTTTTGCAGTAGTATGCTTGCACAAACTAGTATGGGAGTCGCAGTTCCTTTGGGGTGCGTTTGGTAAACTGGACATAACAGAACAGAGATTCACTGTTCCACGTTCAACAAGTTTTTTATGTGAACAGGCAGGAACAAAGTGGAATAGGCGTGTTCCACCTCCACCCCATGGAACAAGGTGGAATAGACCTATATATTACCAATATAGCCTCAAAATAAAACATAATTCTCTTTTAAGACATCGAATACGCTTCCCTCTTTACGTTTTATTCATTCTTTACATTTTATTTACTATATTTTATGCTCTTTAAGCTTTCACTTTCCTGTCCTCAAAATATTATTTTTATATGATTTCTATATTTTGATTAATTTATTTACTTCTTTAAATATTAATAACAAAAAAGAACAATATAGACAAAGTATAAAATAAAAATTGGGAATGACCTAAACTTTTTATTTTTGGTCACTTTAATTGTTATAAAAAATATTTATTTTATTATAATTTAATAAATTACATAAATTAATCAAAATATATAAACAATTCATCAAGGGTAAATTGATCATTATATTCTGTCTAGTTTTGCTTTACCAAACGGCGAATAACTGTCTTGTATTGTTTTGTCTTGTCATATCCTATCCGGATACCAAACACACCATTGGGATTCGGCTGCTTGTGGGAACTGAGCCCATAAACCAGCCACCTATTAAGAAGTTGTGTACTTGATTTAATTCTGTTATTAGTATATCAATGTTTTGTTATCTAAAATAAGTGGTAGAAGATTCATATTTTTTTTTCTTTTTCTTTTTCTTTTTTGCTTGTAGATTCAAGGATATGACATCAAGGAAGTATTGCAGGTGTCTTGATAGACTGTGTACCACCAATCCAATGTGGATCTTTAGAAAAACAGGTGCTGTAAGTTTATTCTCTATGCCATGGAAGTAACTGAAAGTTCATAAACATTGTTTAAATGTATATATTATAGTTTGCTGCCAACACTAAACCTTTTAATTAATTTATTCTGGAAAAAGAGAGAGATCCAGAGTTTTGTACCAGAAGGTGTTCGAAATGGTAGGTCGTGTTATAATATATCTGTGCAAAAAGTTGATTAGTGACAACCTCAACTGGCTTCATACAAAACCTGCCTCCAAAGACATAAATTTGAGGGGTGTGTTTTTTGGCCCACTTAAATATTACGTTTGCTTAGAAATTATTTTTTAAAATTTTTCCTCTTGAAGAATATTTTTTTTAAAAATTGTTGATTATTGTAACTAAATATGAATACTAGAAAATTTGTCACGCTAATTGGTAATTTTATATATATGTATAAAAGATAATGTTTGACAAGTGTAATTTTTTTTTTATTAATTAATAGTTCTTCAAATAAAACTAAGTTTGGCAGTTGTAGAATGGTTTGGTGTAGAATGATTATAAGTGGTTAGAACGATTAAGAGGCTTTCATGATATAGTGCAAAATGAAATATAATTGCTTGGTAATTGTTACAAAATCATTTAAAGGGTTTTAGAACCATTAAGAGACAAATTTTTTTTTTTGCCAAACAAGATTTACCTCTTAATAATTCAGAGTCTGCATTTTAATGAAACTATTAAGAGATAAACAAACTAACTCATATTTAACTAATAATTAAGTATTTGATTAAAATCACTCTTATCGAACTTTTTTTATTTATGAAAGAAATATAACTTGATTATTTATATAATGTACAAAAACAATTTATATATTTGTATTTGATTTTTGAACAACTAAATCTATTTGATACTATTAATAATAATTAATATAATAACAATATCAAAATAATCATTATGATTAATAATAATTCAAATAATTATTAATTACTATTAATTAATTACAAAATTTTGAAGAATGTGGAAAAAGAGTTTAAAACTTGTTTGAGCACTACTTCAAGTAAATAAACTGATGCAATTGGAAGGATATTAACTTCTATTTATTCATTATCTATGTCAAGAAAATTGCAATCGCAGTTTATAAACCACTCACGAGACCATCGAGATCTTTGACATAGCTCCTCCTTTTTCTCGTCTGAGGGAAAGAAAGCAATTGTAACCTTTAATCCGTCGTAGACCTCACCATATCAAAAAAACATGGTTTTTTCAGTACACTCAAAAAATAAATTAATTTATGTATGTATGTATGTTTGTCGCAAATTGTTGAATACCCGATGTTATTATCTATACCACAGATCATGTCCAAGTGTTATACAGATAATAAATTAAAACGTAACTAGAAAAACATAAAATATTGTCTCAATATTCATAATTATGAGATAGTATAAAATCTGGATTAGTAATGGTTTTGATAGTACCAAGGAAAAGAAGTTAAATATTAGATGTGTTTGAATGGGTTGAAAGCGAAGAATTTGAAAAAAATGGATGCATAAGAAATAGAAAATGAAATAAATAAAGAGTGCACGTTTGGGAACCAAAACCAAGGTCAAGGGTTAGACAAAAAGGGTTCATAACGAGGGCTTATTTTTGGAATTTTAACCCACTTCCAACTTCCCAAGATCACCATTCTTATTTCACTCCATATATACCCTTTTCATACTTAACATGTACATATGCTAGCTGCAATAAGCCATATATTTTTGTACGTCTCAAATAAGCAAATGAGGTTCTGAAGAAAAGTCAGGAAAATCTGTATTGATTTTAGAAGACTCGAACTGATGATTTATGAGGTGGAGTTTCAAAGACATTTAGGAGTTATGTTGTAGGTTTTGATAATGGAATTTTATTCTCTTTTTTTTTTTTGTTGATCTGTGTATGAAAGGTTATCTATGGACTTCTGTTTCGTCGTTTGAATCTTTATCGGGTTTTTAGATCTATTAGTGTTGCTTTAGATAATTTTGAACGGAAATGGGTAACTGAACTAATCATACTAAATCTTTTAATAAGATATAAGTCGTTTTCTTAAGGTTGCAGTCGTCTACGATGCCTCAAGGAGTAGCGAAGTTTTCGTGGAACCATCATTTTGTAAAATATTTTGAGTAGAATATTTTCTGGTTTCAAAAGTTTGACAAAATGGCGAAACTGGAGTTGGTAATAATTAAAAGAAATGTAACGGGAAAAAGAAATCATGGAAGGACATCAAAGGCGTGCAAAAAGGTATAAAACCACCAAATCAAGAGCGGGAGTTTTTTCATAAGTTTTTTGGGATGTAAAAAACCATTTTAAAACACAACTCCCTGTTTGATATTATCATAAACATATATAATCTGCGTGATATATACCTGTTTTTAATAATATTTATGAGAGGAGTCTTTAATAATTTAATATTATCATAAACATATAATCGACATGATATATGTATAATTAAATTATCGTATTAACTAAAGTTTTTATGTGAATAATTTTATTACATTAGTTTTTATAAAATATAATATAAATGATATAAACGAAAAATGGTGAAAATCCTAAAAAGGTTAAAGAAACAATGAAAAACACAAAGAAATGTTTTTGCGATAATAGAAAAGTTGAAGTTTTTGGGTTGTTTAATTGGCGTTGACGTGATCTTTCCTATCACGTATGCTCTAACTAAATGCAAACCGGTTGTAAAATATAAAAGCAGGCAAGCAAACCAAAGTGTTTGTGTCGTATAGAAATAGCAGAATTCCCCTTCCAACCTAAGTCTCTCGATTGCTCTCTCGCATAGTTTCTTCAATTATGCATCACTTCAGTTTGTTCTTGTACAACGACACTACTACACAGGTCTCCACTCTTCTAGTAGTCTTGAGGACGACGATAAAGATCTCCTCCAGCAAATGTGAGCCCGCTTCCCTCAGACATATCCTTCTTCAAATGGTGATCATGTACTCTTCTCGTCTTCTTAAACAAGAGTTTGATACGATCATGTCATGAGCTATAGCCAAATCCAGGAGCATATACGACCTCCCTCATTCCTTGGAAAGACAACCTCCCCTCATTGGCTCCTTGATAACCATATGTACCCCTTCCCTAGTTCTCTATATGTCTTTCGAAGTCGCCCCTGTAAATACATGTTGATTCTCAAATAAGCCTCCCACCATCATACAACAGTATTAAAAAAAAAAAAAAAACCCTATAACAAACAAAGAGGTTTTAAAAATAAATAGCATATGATATAGTTAAAATGCCCCCTTTTGTGGTTATATTGAAACCACCCACTAAGTAAACATTGGTAATTAGCGATTGCAAGAAAATTAGCAAAATCAGCAAGGGTAACATCACTTGGCATAATTGCTTTTCAAAGTTATAAAATTGATGAAATCCATGTACATACTTTTCTTAAATATATAATTGATGCAAATCCACTTCATTTCTCTCTTTCTAACTCCTTAATCACAATTAACCCTTTGTTTAATTAAATAATATTAATTAGGCTGATCACCCCAAAAATAGAATTATAAATCTGCTAGCTACATATATATATATATATATTCTTCCTTATTCCATCGCCTCGCCAAGATGCTTATAGTTTTTTTTGGAGTTTTGAAGACACTCGGTTGACGAGGTAGCCTTGTGAACATAACATTTATCATGACAACTCGACATGTACGACTTTATCACAAAAATGAATCTCATACCTTTTTTTTTCTCATTAAGGATTAGTTATATATACCTCGTAACATGCAACATTATGATCATATATTATAAGTTAATGCTCGAGCAATCCCCTTGTAAATTAGCGAATCATTCATGTGTTCTACTATACCTACGGCTTAATGATTTCAGTTGGACAACCTAACAAGTATATAATAGGACAAAAAGAAGTAACAAATCAAATATTGATACATATATCTCATATATATAATCAAATCAAGCTCCATACTAATTTACAAAAATTAACATAAACATAATGAATCTTAATCGATGCTAAGGTTGTTCCTCCTTAGCATGTTGTATGTGAGATTTTGAAGAGGACCTTCAAAGTTTATCAAACGATTTCCAAAACGATTTCCAAAACAATTAGAACATGCTTATATATGCCATGCTCATTCTTAACATGTCTCATACCCCATGGTTAATTAAGATCAAGATGGTGGATGTGCACTGGAAGTACACATATGTAGCTAGGTTACATCTACATTCTACTATACCATGCATGATGCATGTATATATACAAATATAAATCAATATATCAGACCTAATTCTGTAAAGAAATAACATGAAGAAACAAGGGGTGAAATAGTAATTGACCACATAATATATAGTACATGATATACATATAGATATAGATATAGTCTTTGAGATAAGCAGTAGACCATTGAATAGAGGTTTAAAGAAATGAAGTGGAGTAGCAAATTGCATGTAGCGTATGACAGCAGGAGGAATCTTCACCGGTCCAAATGGCTCTTATAAATATTCATATAATCCTGACAGGTCAGTGGAATAGAAGCTTTCAAGGAATGGAATGGAAGCTGCATTCTTCGATACTTCAATTAATTAAATCAAGATTCTTTATTTAATATAACACATTAATTAACCCTTCATGACTGTGTGTATCTGTGTGTGTATATACATACATACATACATATATATATATATATATATATATATATGTATGTATGTATGTAATTTTGAGCTTTTGCCGCTTTCCAAAGTCCACATTTACACATGAATCAAAAACCCCAAATGAAGCTTATTAAACAACCGCATTAATTGAACACCCTTAATTTTCTTGGAATTTTGTTTTGTCTTTATCTGCTCATCATTATTATGTATATTTCAATTAAATTAATATATAACGATTTATTACTTTCATGTATGTATTTTTTGAGATTAAAATGAGAAATTAAATGGATAATAATTAAGTAGTTATTAATAACTAATTAATTAATTAATGATCGAGATCATGATCCCAACAAACCAAACTAATCTCTTGAGATTCATCAATTAATTTGGAGTTACTAAACATAACCCCAAAAAGGGTTGCATGGATATATGCATTTTAAGAGTCTTTTTCTCCCAAAAAGACCAGGAAATTAATTAAGTCTTCAAATAAATGGTTTCTTTAATTACTTTTTGAAATTCAAAAGTTTCTTTTAATTAATTTATAAATTATTATTAATATTGTACCCTATGTTCATTATTTTATCATCCCGTTTAATTTTTTTTCCAATTCAAATAAACAAGTTTCACATTAACAGGTTCTTTAAGATGGAAATGCAAATTAGTTGACGGACTTAAAATAAGGCATGTATATGTTTTGCTTAATCAAACACTACAATTAATTAAATTAAGTTTATAGGACGCCACCAATTTCAAAGCGTTTTAATAAACTGTTTTATAAGACCAAAATATAAAAGGTGCTTTCTAAAAGCGTTTGTAATAAGTTTATAGGATGTTTTTGTGCATTTTAACAAGGTTTTTAGAACATTTATAATACAAAGCATCTCATAAGATATTCTATATGGCACTTTTAAGAAAGTGTCCTATAAATTAACTCATATTTTTATAAGATACTTTTTCGGATATTGTCTTATAAAATAACTAATATGACGTTTTGCATTAAAAATGTCCTAAAAAACTTGTTAAAACGTTTTATGAACTTATTACAATACATTATAGTACTCTTTATCTTTGGTCCTAGAAATTGAGTCCTATAAAACAGTTTATTAAGACGTTTTGAAATTGATAACGTCCTATAAAGATAACACTAGTTTTAATATTATGAATATTGATAAATAGTTAAAAATAATATATAGATAAAAGCTTCACCTAGTTTTCCTAAAGGAAAAAAAAAAACAGATTAAAAATCCATTATTGACTTAGAGAGAGCGTTTCTTGGTAGTTGTTTTTTCTTTCTTTTTGGAAAAAAAAAAAGTTGAATAATCCATCTCTCTCGTACTATTTCGGGGTTATACAGCGATATCCTTGCAAAAACCAGTTTCTTTAAGGTCACCTGAAAAAACGGCTGATCCTTCGGAGGCAGAACCCTTTTCAGGAAGCATATCTTCATCTTCAAATCAACTAAACTTCCCATTCACTTTCATTTCATCTCTCTTGTCCTCATGCTTCTTGCTCACTTAACCCTAAAACAAGAAAACCCTAGTTTCAACTTCATATCTCTACACTGATCACCAACTTTAATCCTGATTTCCTTCATTGGTTTTGTTTAGTTCGATCAGCTTTTCTTTTAGGGTTTCCAGATCTAAGTGAAGAGTTAGGTTTTTCTTTCTGTTTTCAGAGCTAAAATAGGTATCATAATGGAGGAGAGAAGTGAAAATGGTGAGAAAATAGAAGAAATCATGTTACCAGGGTTTCGGTTTCATCCTACGGACGAGGAGCTTGTTGGGTTTTATCTAAAAAGGAAGATCCAGCAAAGGCCACTCTCCATTGAACTCATCAAACAATTGGATATCTATAAACATGATCCATGGGATCTGCCAAGTATGCTTCATTTTTTTTTTCTTCTCATCATTTCAAGATTTAATTTGTATAATCCTTTCTGCATGAAAGTTGACAAGATTGTAACTTTTTTTTCCTTTTCTAAATCAATTTATAGAGTTGGCTATGACGGGAGAGAAAGAATGGTATTTTTACTGTCCAAGGGACCGGAAATACCGCAACAGTGCACGGCCGAACCGTGTGACAGGAGCTGGATTCTGGAAGGCTACAGGTACAGACCGACCGATCTACGCTTCTGAAGGTTCAAAATGTATTGGCTTGAAGAAGTCACTTGTGTTCTACAAAGGAAGAGCTGCGAAAGGGATCAAAACTGACTGGATGATGCACGAGTTTCGGTTGCCTTCCCTCACGGATCACACGACTCCTAGCAAACGTTTTCTTGAGAAAACCATTCCTGCCAACGTAAGTATTTCAGTCCTTTATCGATCTTTCTAGTTATATTTACCATCCCAGTAAATTGTGATGACAAGAAATCAGGTTTGATAAACTCAATGACCACAATTGTTGTGTATGCCTTGAATCGAATCCTGGATAGATGGGATATTTCACCACATCTCCCATGACCTCAACCACTACGCCACAACCCTAGTGGTTTCCTTTCTGGTTATATTTCCAGCAAGTAGATCACATTTATTAATTATCATCTAAGAGCATTAGTTCTTATATAGAACTCTCAAATAAGATTAAAACCTAGTTTCGGGACATTGATCTTATGGATCCATATTTTAGTTCTTCTTGTTGACAATAACACCATGTAATACTATTTCATCATTTATTAAGCTTTTTTTTGCTTCCAAAATCTGCAGGATTCATGGGCAATCTGTAGAATATTCAAGAAAGCAAGCTCAACTGCACAAAGAACCCTATCTCATTCTTGGGTATCTCCAATCTTGCCAGAAACCACTTCATCTGATCACAACATCCTTACTCAACATGGCATATCTAGCAATGACTTTCAACATTCATCCATCACTAGCTTCTCTCCTAACATGGACCATACTGGTAGTAACAATATGCCTGTCTACAAACCTTTTAATATTGACCCAACAGTACCTCCTACGGTTACAACTACGAACAATAAACCCCCTCAAAATAATTCCATTTCAAGCAGTGAGGACCTTAATTATTCCACAAGCTATCCCTTTTTGTTCCAAGAACCTAACTATGGTTCTAAATCATCAACAGTTGATGCATCATCTTTGCTACTTAACATCCCTAATTCCATCTTTGGAGATTTTGATAAGGCGTCAGCAGAAGGCTTGGACTACATCACTAATGGGCTGCACCATGATCATCATCAGCAATATAATTACAATGGCTGCTGCTTTTCAATCACTAACTTACCTGTTGAAATACAAGAAAACTGTGTTCAAGAACAAGAAGGGACAGCGAGCATGACAACGATGAAGGGTCCAGGTCCCACCACCACCGAGACAGTCGACACGCATTTCGAGGACCAGTGGGGGAGATCAATATCTAGTGGTGGGTACCCTTTCATGAGTTTGCCATTGGGGTTGCAAGATGCATGGAAATCTAGTTTTCTTTGTGATTCTTCTAGTGAGATATCATCTAGTTTTTCAACTACTAACAAGTGCTATATATAATTAACTGATTAATTAGTTGGTAGTTAGTTAAGGGTTTAACATAGAATAGAAGCACTCTTTTGATTACCTTGTTTTTCTTCTTGTAGTTCAGATTTCTAAGTTTTGTTTCAATCAATCAAGTTCATGTATTTTAAGGACTTTTTGAAGTTCAATCAAAATATAATACTAATGTTTAGTACACATCCTCAATCATGATTAATTTGCTTTCATTTTAATGTAATATTTTCATTATGCAAAATGAAAATTTCTCTCGTTTTCTCCACCCGCACGTACCCGAAAACTCAAAATTTGAACTCCACGTCCGGTTGGCAGCTTCAATTAAGTCGGTGGTTCGTTTGAGGGATCAAAAGGCCTTGTTTTCCGTCTAGATGAAAGCCAATTAATCCGCACTATAAACCCTTTCGCCACCTTCGTATAGGTTTCATCATCCAACAACTTGGCTTCTTTAGAGGTTTTTCATCAGTTTCGTATATCTTAAATCCTCTGCGTTAATTGGCTTCTGGAGTGTTGTGTTTTGCCATCCAAGAACCCATCAACAAATGTTTTCCACAAAGAAATATGGAATATCTCATCTGTGCAGAGTTCGATTTTCAGGCGTACACAATAATTATGGTCACTGAGTTTATAAGCACCGGAACACCCTTCCAAAAAAGAAAAACAAAATATTTGGTGCCTTTCATTTACAAGGAACGACAAAATGAAAGATCACCACGAGTCGTTCATGTTCAAATGCATGGAAATGGCTTTAAAACCATTAATTGTGTTTATAAAACATCATTTTAAATAGTTATTAGAACACTTTATTTTAAAAGATCCTAAAAAACTTGTTATGACGTACAAAAACGTCCTATAAACTTATTGTAACATTTTAGATAGATACCTTTATTTTTTTGTTATATAAGACACTCTGTTATGACACTTGAACAAAATAGCTGTTCTATAAACTCAATTTTGTCGTAGTGAAAAGTTGTCCAAATCTAACATTCAGGTCAACCCAACAGATAAATAAAAGTTAATTCTCGAGCCTCCTCCATAGTGGTTTTTCTACCTATTTATCTTCACGACTTTATGAGATTGGTAGAAGTAGATACAAACAGGCTCAGTAAAGAAAAAAAAAAGATTCCCAATTCTTGAAATACATATATTCGGATATACATATATGTATTCATGTGTATTATATAGAAAAATATATATTAAATGGAAGTTGAAATTTATGTAATAAATAAAAGATGAATTAATTGGTTTGAAGGAAATGATTAATTAGTGTTATTGAGAAATGGGAATTACGGGGGAATGGATGCATGTACTACAATTGACTCTTGGCCTTTGACCATTTTCATTAATATCAGCGAACCTTGCTTCTGTTTTCAAGACCCCATTAATATCTCCTTAATTTACTTGTTGACAATAACACCAAATTAATTTTAAAAAAAAGTCACAAGTCTTCAAAAAATCACTGATTTACATTTCATTTCATAAACATTGCTTTATTTGTATGGGATTATTCGAGTAGCATTCGGTCTCGATGGTTTTAGTGAAAATCGAATTTTACGAGGACCAATAATTCAGAACATGTTCGACTTCATCTTCCATCATATAGTTTGGGTGGAGAATTGGATTCTTGAAACAAAATTCTAATCTTTCCACTGTGCAATATAAGAAAATATCTTTGGATCAAGTTCTCGTACGTACTATATAAGAAACGATAACATTGTTCATTTTTAAACATACAGAAAGAAAGGGGAAAAACAATACCCAAACCTTTTTTATAGAACTAAGGATGGCTTGGCGTGGATATGGGAACAAGGGTTACCCGACCTATACCAATGTTCCACCCCAAGAAGGTGGTTACGCTCATGGCCCAAAACAACCCAACAACTGGTATGTGGTTGAGACCACGACGATCGAGCGTATTCGTACCCCAACTACGAGGTACATTAATTTTGGTGATCAGGAGTATAACCGTGGGCCTAGCATGTTCATCGGCCCCAAATACAAACCTAAGGACCATCACGGAGGCTATGAGCCCGACTATGTGTCAGATAACGAGAACTCAAGCCCACCTCGCAACCAGGGACGCAAAAGCCCACCCCGTAACCAGGGACGAGAAAGCCCACCCCGTAACCAGGGACGAGAAAGCCCACCCCGCAACCAGAGACAAGAAAGCCCACCCCGCAACCAGGGACGAGAAAGTTTAATAGATAAGTTTCGTAACAAAGTCCAGATCAAGACAAGCATCCCCGTGAAGACAAGCGATCTCTCGAGCCCAAATAAGTACCAACCTACAAGCCCAGTGCAAAACCAGCCCTCACAAGAAGCCCACCCGATTAAGACCCGTAACTTGGTTGGACCAAATAAGTACCAACCTACAAGCCCAGAGCATAGCTATCCACCAAAAGAAGCCCATATGACTAGGAACAACAGCTATCCAGGCCCGGATAAGCACCAACCTACAAGCCCAATGCATAACTATCCATCAGAAGGAAACCAACTGATTAGGACCAGAAACTTGTCGGGCCCGAATATATACCAACCTACAAACCCGATATATAACCATCAGTACGATGAAGACCAACGGATCAGGACCAGAAACTTGTCGGGCCCAAATAACCACCACCCTTCAATCCCGGGCTCAAAATATGGTCAGATTCGACACTTTCCGAACCCGAAAAATCATTGGCAGAGTGCAGGTCCGCCAATGACACATCATCCTCTAACTAGTGTCACCAACGATATTAATGAAGCATTAGGTTTTCTGGAAGAATCTATGAATTACTCACCACACTCTGGCCAATTCGATAACTTTTCCTCGCACCCACATTCAATCGAACCCGAATGGCAATACAGAAAGCCCACATTTGCCGGTTCAACAAACTTCCAAACAAACACCATCGATAGTCAAGAGGCCATAAGAAGGTACCAAGGGTCACGTGTGCCATAAAAAGCACAAAAATTAAAGTCCCAAACCGGGTATTGCATGACGCATATCTATGTATCTGTCTTTTAACTTTTCAACATCCTATCGTAATCTCTTTTAAGCGTTTTTTTAATTTCCAAATGTAATTTTAGGCTTCATCTTCTCATAGTCGTGTGCATCTATGTATAAATAATCTTTGTTGTAAATGGGCCGAAAGGATCACGTTTGCAATTAATAAACGATGTCATTAAATTAAATATTGTCATGATTTAAATAAGACAAACGGCATAAATATCAAATACACATATGGTGGATGTCAAGACCAACAAATAGCAAATCGAGTTCCACTAACATTAACGCAAATGAATTACATTAAATAAGGTCGAACCTATAGCGATTGTTGAAATTATTTATAAGGTTTATAACAGTATAAAACTATAATTACTGATCATGTCGGTACTCAACTTTTTGCTCAAAATCCATACCATCATTGAGCATATGTTGCGTACTAATTAAGGAGGTTCGGAGTTGAACGATAATCAACTTAGAGAGCATAGGTTTAAAACGAGTTAGGGGCAGTTTACCATATTTTTTTATTAAGTCTTGTATGGATAAATTTGGTTGTCCGGATAAATTTGTCTATCTAGATTAATGGGTGTTGTTTACTTTTTTTATCTGAACCAACAGTCTGAATAACATAAATGACCGATTAACCCCTAATATTAATTATTTGAACATCAAACAAAAAATCATAAAGAGGCCGACGACGAGGTGTCTCATATGGGAAGGAGGCAGTGCTTTAAATAAGGGCTGAGGGTGTCATTTTTGTAGCTGAATGGGGACAACACACCATTTCTATCTGTGCGATTAAGTCATATTATGTGCGAATAAGCCGTAAGTAAACAACCCAAATGAGTTGTGCAAATAAGCCAGATAGACCAATAAGCCTAATTAAGCCGCAAGTAAACAGCATCTTAGTATAAAACTAAATAATATGGAATTAATAACGGGAAAATTCCAACTAAGTGGTATAATCTCGGATTCTGTCCAATTTCATTGATCATTAATTAATAAAGTAGACAACATTCCAATCATCCCCAAATTGGTTATAATGATTAACAAACACTAACGATCTACTTATCATTAGTTTTTCGTTACCAAAACAAACTCTTCAATCATTCCGCTAATCAATAAAAGATCGTAAGTAAGTTCTGAAGACTTAGTTCACTAATAACGTAAGAATGAGATAAACTATCATCGTAAATAAGTTCTAGACACTTGGTTCGCTAATAACGTAAGAATGAGGTAAACTATCAATTCCAAACAATAACAAACAAACTCCGACCATTGAAACTAGATTTGTACAACTCGTTGATCTTCAACTTTTTCAACGGATATGAGCACACCTAAAGGAATATGTTTATTAGGGTTTCAGATAACTATCTTTTGAGGGGCCCACATTATCATAATCGAACAAAACAATTATACATACATATATATATATATATATACATATATATATATACATATATATATATATATATACATATATATATATATATAGACTTGAGATCATGTGAAACCAATTGTTTTTCGTGAGACCCGTAAGACCAATTCTCAACCCTTGGATTAGATCTATAACCTGACAAAATATAAACATTCATAAACGCCACGAGATTTCTTAATAATTACCAAATTGTCACCGTGCAATTTAGATCGTTAGATCATTAACTTATAAAGTTGATCAATGAACATAAATTGGTCTTACGGGTCTCACGAAAACCTTTGCTCTTACGTGAACTCAACCATATATATATATATATATATATATATATATATATATATATATATATATATACACTCATGTATAAAAAGAGATTGCTTTTTTAGATGGAATGAAATGCTTATCTACAACACAAGGACACGTTAGTTAATGTTTATCTAGAATCCAAAACTCATATTCTAGTAACAGATTTTCCCTTTTTTTAGAAATATATTATAATAATTGCTGCTATTTATAATAAATGGTAAAAAGGTAATTTTGCATAACCAAAAAATAAAAAAGTCCAAAAGAACAAGAAAATAACAGACGGTAAGATAATTATTTCAATAAATTTGACCGGTTTAAATTTGATCGGATGACTTTTCGTACAATAATTTGGGTTCCTTTTGACCGCTTACATCATGGACGGACCCATCGTAATATGTGATTATGTGCCATCATATTGTTCAATCGTTGTAATCTAAAAAATTGGGTTGTGAAAAGTGTTATTGTGTTAATTTGTTGTACCACCATATATATTTTGAAACTAAATGAGAGCACAAATTTCCTTTTGTAGAGTTGGTATGCAAGACTTTTCTTCCTTTCAGCTTTCGATTTCAGATTTATTATGTTTTTGAGAAAAAAAAATTGCAATAAAAACTTGAACACAAGACCTCACATATAAAAAAACAATAAACTAACCAACAAAACAATGACAGTTTTGTGAAAAATATCCCCTATATTTTGTATAATCAAAGGAAGTCACCGTTTGAAAAAAAAAAATTGAGTCCGTCCCTGAGTTACGTAACCAACCCGTCCAGATACGTCTTTAACGAGGGGTGGTTACGGTTCAGATCAATCACTACTTTATAACAACGGTATTCGACAATAGATGCACTGTGAATTGCTTAACGCATACGGAAAAATAATCAAAACAGTCAAAAAGTAGCTTTCCAACAAATAATGGTTCTCGTAAAAATCGAATTGCACAGTAACCCCATTAAGCAAGAATATGTTCGACTTGTATCAGAAGATTAAGCCTCGAATTCGATTCTACAACACAATCCTAATCTTGAAACAGTGTTGATGCATGAAAATATCTTTGTTTTACTATATAAAGAAACTACAGCATCATCCATTTTGACACAGCCAAATCGAGCACAACAAATACCCGAAAACTTGCATCCAACAAACAAGTATGGCAGGTAAGACGTACGTGACCAAAGGCTACTCAACCCACACCAACATTCCAGCTCCACATGGTTATGACCATGGGCTGAAAAATCCTGGCAACCAGTATGCGGTTGAGACCAAGGCCAATAAGCAGTGGGGTCCTAAGCCGGCTGCAGGGTTTCCCGACTTTGTTGGTTCACCTTCAAAAGCCGAGCTCCTCAAGGAGTACGTACATGCCCCAAGCATGTCGAAAACTCCCAAATATGCATCTCCGGCTCCAGAATACGAGCCAAATTATGGGCTCAACTATAAGAACTCAAGCCCACCCAAATATCAAGGACCAGATGATTTCAAGGCCCAGAATAAATCAAGCTGGCCCGTGAAAACTAGTGAATTCTCAACCCAAGATATATATAATCCTTCAAGCCTGGTCCATGGGTACCCTTCAGAAGAAGCCCACCTAATTCATTCAGGACCGAGCTTGGGAGGGGCCAGGCATGTTCGAACCGGGAATATTTCGGGTTCTAATAAATCTTGGCAGGGTGCAGGTCCACCAGCAACACATCATCCTCTTACAAGCCCTACTAACAATATCAACGAAGCATTGGGTTTTATGGAAGAATCGGTGTATTATTCCCCACGTGCAGACCCTAGAAGAAGAGGAGTACTCGACGATTTGTCAACTCGGGCACAACCAATCGAGCCACTGAGGCGATACGCACGACCGGTATTTGTTGCTAAACCTAATGCCACACATCACAACTTCAGCAACACAGGAAACACTATGAATAGTCATGAAGCCATGAGGAAGTATCGTGGCACCCTTATGCCGTAAACAGTCCAAAGGCACTATTTAGGGGGCTTTAGTATTGGTTACTAATAGAAGCCATGACTATCTATCTATGGGATTTCCTATCTTAGGTTTGATTATGATGCCTGTACTATGAATGTTGCTCTAATACTATAAAAATAGCTTTCCTATCTTATCTTAGGTTTGATTATAATGCATGCCTACCTAACCTGATTTCTGGTTACCTTTCGTATCCTGTAACACAAACCGAAAGCTTTCTTTTCAACTGTTTCTGTTCAAAATACTTCCCAAAAAGAATTCACTGGTTAGGAAGTTCGCTTATCCAAGTTAAGATGCTAACATACCTAACAGGACATAATCTGGTCATGTAGACTGATGAATGTGTAATATACCTTAAGAAAGTCATTCAATTAAATGAAAAAACCAAATTCAAAAGTAAATATAAGAGTGAAAGAATCCCAAAAGATTTAATAAGTTGTAAACAAAACCTAGAAATGTTTTGATTAACGACAAAGTAGAGGCAAAAGTGGCTCGATTACATATTCAAGACACACCTCACAGACTAACTCACATTTCACATGGTGGGTTGTATCCAAAATTACTCTGACGGTTGAAAGAATACCGACTCAGATGCATTCTGACATCTAACTCCTTGAAGCGGTCTTTTCTTTGGCTTTCTGGATCTTCAGAACCTTTTTCACAATCTTTTGTTCTTCAACAAGAAAAGCCCTGATGATCCTATAAATAAAACAACAATGTACAAGTGAATAAAACCAGAAAACAATATTTTTGCAGAACAATAAAGTTGCAACGAATCAATAAACAGACTATTAAAAGAATTACCTTTCCCTTACTGCCCCTGCAGACAGAACTCCACCATAAGCCCGGTTAACAGTTCTTCTGTTCCTAGATAATCTAGACCTCTTGTATTCAGCAGGCCTCAAGTGGGGAATCTGCAAATGGCGATACATGCTTAGTCATTAATTTTACTTCATCACTTAAACATCAAAATAGCCAGCCTGATGTCTCTAACCTAAGTACAGGAACAGCAAAAACAACATAAAGCATAAAGATTTCAAGCAAAGAAGAGGAGCTTTAAACTCAACAGCTTATGTCCTCCATTCACATATGCCAATTTATGATGCTTCCACTTTTGCAGTATCTTAGCAACTCCAATTGCATTCTTAAATCAGGGTGCAAAATGTTACCAAGGTTTAGGATCAAAGACCATCTTTGTATGATAATGAGTCAGAAGTAGCTGGTTGTAAGATCACCTTCTCTTAAGAGAAATCATTGGGAATCCGTCTGAATTTTCTCATCATCCCCATTATCATTAAACAATTGTACCACCAAAATAATTGACACATAAAACATTTAATCAGAATTCCAAATAACAACTATGTTTTTAAATAAAAGTAGCAAAAAGATGATTTGCATTTTATAACCTATGGACCATGCCAAGTTATACCACAACATAAAGCAAGAAGATTTCAAGGAAAGAAGAAGAGCTTTAGACTCGACAACTTATGCCTCCATTCACATATGCAAATTTATGATGCTTCCACTTTGCAGTTTCTTAGCAACTCCAATTGCATTACTAAATCAGGGTTCAAAATCTTACTAAGGTTTAGGGACAAAGATGATAACTTTGTATGATAATGAGTCAGAAGTAGCTGGTTGTAAGATCACCTTCTCTTTAAACAAAGAGAGATCATTGGGAATCCGTCTGAATTTTCTCATCATCTCCATTATCATTAAACAACTTGTACCACCAAAATAATTGACACATAAAACAGTTAATCAAAATCCAAATAACAACTATGTTCCATATAAAATTAGCAAAAAGATGATTTGGATTTTATAACCTATGAACCATGCCAAGTCATACCACAACATAAAGCATAAAGATTTAAAAATAAAAAAGCTTTAGACTCAACAACTTATGCCCTCCATTCACATATGTCAATTTATGATGCTTCCACTTTTGCAGTATCTTAACAACTCCAGTTGCATGATTAAATCAGGGTTCAAAATCTTACTAAAGTTTAGGAACAAAGATGATAACTTTGTATGATAATGAGTCAGAAGTAGCTGGTTGTAAGATCACCTTCTCTTTAAAGAAAGAGAAATCATTGGGAATCCGTCTGAATTTTCTCATCATCCCCATTATCATTAAACAAATTGTACCAACAAATAATTGACACATAAAACAATTAATCAAAACTCCAAATAACAACTATGTTCAAAATAAAAGTAGCAAAAAGATGATTTGCATTTTATAACCAATGGACCATTCCAAGTTATACCACAATTAGATTAATAGAATTGCCAAGATATAAACATGATGGGATGTATGATGGGATCTTTGTCAAGGTTCCAACATCATAAACCAAAAATCAAAAACCAAAATGAGGAAGTAATTAACAGTGGTGCAACAAGTTTAATATAATGAAAATGTAATTCAGATGCCAAATGCCAAATTCAATAACACATACCCCTTGGATTCTCTTGCCAGTAACAGGGCATTTAGGTCCACTTGCCCTCTTCTTGGTGGTCTGATACACTAGCTTCCCACCTATTCAACACAACCACCAAACATTATGTCTTCAATTCACAACAAATTTACACTACCGAATTCATACACAAGTTACGCCAAATCTCAAGATAACAGAACAGAATAGAATGGATATCGAAGAGAAGAGAAGGAAGATTACCAGGGGTTTTGACAACCCGATGTTGGTTTGATTTGGTGGCATAGCTATGGCGTTTGCGGTAAGTGAGACGCTGCACCATGTTGGGATCGGCGGCTATCTCCTGATCGTTTTCACTCTGGCGGAAGAGGAGAAGACAGAGAAAGGTGTATATATAAAGGGTGCCCTAGGTTAAAACATTATTTGGGCCTAAACACAAAGTTGGGCTTCTATCCATTGTAAATATTTTGTTTCAAAAAAAACAACTTCATCACAGATGATTTAATGAAAAACCAATCAAACAATCTTTTAATCTTATAATTTATTGAATAATATTTAGTTGACAAAAGATATTATGTTTCATAATCTATACTATATCATAAAGCATTTGACAAAAATTTATTAAAAACCTTTTTTATGCATGAAATGATGTATATTGATGCATATTATTTAAAATTTTAAGATTACAAGTAAATTATGCATGAGTACAACTTATTAAAGCTCGATATTTGAATTCGTATAACTAACTGTGGATAAACATAATCAAATAGAGGATAAACATCTCACTTTTAAAATATAAAAAATCTAAAATATAATTAAGATAATTATCGAGTTCTAACAAAATAATTAATATCGATATATTTTTGTCTTATGATATCTTCAAATTTATATTTTATTCAAAAATAAAAACATTATCGCGTTCTCAAAATCACATATTATAACATCGACTGAGATAAATAATAAAATGAAATATTAAAATCAATATGTATCTTACTGCATTGCACGAGTATCCTTCTAGTGTTTATTCATATAATAAACTGATAAACTCTCTATATATAAAACGAGAGGGAGAGTCGGACAACGAATAGAAGAAAACATGAATCGTGATTCAAGGCTCGAGTTATCTACCTCAAAATCAAGATGTATTACGCTGCACTGTATTGTACACTTCAAGTAGATGTAATAAATATAATGATTTTTGTTCACTTAATTTTCAATAAACAAGCTATAATCCAATGTGAGCATTACACAATGAGACATTCAAATTCCTCTTGTATGTCTCATTAACAAGCTATAATTCAATGTGAGCATTACACCTTCAAATCTACAATGAAAATTTCATTAACAGAAGATTTCAAAATCCATATACATATATAGCATACATACATACATATTCATCCCTTGAAAATAACTTAAAAAGAGTTCTAGTTTTACCTACTGGATCCACTACTTCTCTACCTTCCTTTCAAAAAAACCATGGATCACAGATGGAGAAGTGGGATATAACTTCATACTCTCTATTTCATAACTTATACTGCTTTTTCAACATGGGAAAAGCAAAAACAAGCTATCTTCCACTTGGATCTTTCGATCGATGAACTTGATGTTGTTTAACTTACTTTGGCACCAAACCAGTTGGTCTCTACTCAATCTTGGCAAGCTCAACACTCTTGAAACCAACTTTAATTCAACTTGTGAAACAAACATGTGTTGATCCAAGATTGTTTCTTGATGTTTCTGAAACTTTTTCACTATGCAGTTTCCTGTTCTCAGCATGTCCTTTAGCCTCTTCTCCTTCTACAAAAACGCCACAAAAGTTAGGGCCTGCTTGTTAGCAGCTTAATGGGACTCGCTACTTATTTGGTGAACTATACATAATTGTTTGGTAGTGGCTTAATGATATAGAAAGCGGAGCTCACACTTTCCATCTATGAAAAACTCTCCAAAACAAAAACCTTCAAAAAGTATAATTATTATAAGAGAGCGAAAAGAGCAATGCATAACCTTTTGGTGAGTTGTTTTGATGTCCATGAAAAGATCTGAATCTGCAGGATCTTGGAGATGTGCTTTACTGCCCTGAAGGATTATGGTTAAGAACAAATTGGTGGTATCTTTATCAGTGTGCAGGAATTCCCAGAAAACCGTCATTGATTCTTTGATCATGCTGGCCATTGTTGATATTGGAACTGCATCTCCTTCCTCTTCTTTTCTTGCCTTCCTTTCTTTCAAATTTCCATCTACAAGAAGAAAGAAGAAACCAATTTTTTTTAAAGTCAACTTTTTAGAAACCAATTTTTTTAAAAGTCAACTTTTTGACTTCTGGGAGTGGACTCAACTGTTTTCATCTTCAAATTTGATGTCATATGTTTTGAACTTCAATGAAAACGTGACAACCATTCAAAGAATTTGTAAAGATCTCGACTTTAAGATTGTGGCATAGTATGTTCGACTTTGAAAGGCTACCTTTGATGGCTGGAACTTGAAGAAGGCCTCGAAGGATGCAACGCTGCTTGGCGTAGTTCTGAACTCTAGGCCCTTGAAACATTTCATCTTCTGTGAATCTTCGAAGAAGCACATGAAACTGTTGAAACTCAATGGCAACTTGGTCATACGATCGGTACCCTTGAGGATCATACAACTGTAATTCTTTGGCTTTCTTGTATTGCCAATGGAGAATCTCCCATGAAAGACAAGCTTGTCCAACATACACGATTTCTAAATCTTTATGTAACTCGGTGACGGATTTAAGTGTTGGGTCTGCATAAATTCTTCTTAGTTTGCATGGCCAAAAACTGGGGAAAATAACCGATTTGAGTGCTGAGAGTGACGTGTTTTCTCCTGTGTTCAACTGGTCTGGATTCTTCATTCTCAGAAAATCTATACAAATCAGCAAAACTTCAATCAGAATGTAACATTCCAAAATGATCAGCCTTTAAGGTTAAGAGCCAAATCATTATACAATTTCACTACAAAAGCACAAGTTACCAATTCAACTCAGGGGTGGTAATTAATTTGAATTTTAGAACCATAAGTTGGGATAAAGCCATATATTCAATAAATTGATGGATAATGGATGGTCTCTTGTAAAAGTTAAATGAAGTGAGGAATATGTATCAAAAGCATCTGTTGATTGCCATTGACTTGAAGATAATTGTAGACCACCCAAGAATTATTCACTATTGATAACAAATTGGTGAGATACTAATAAAAATGTAGCAGTCACTATATAAAATTCGGTATATGAGGTCACCAAAAACATGCTTTCATTGGTTTACTTACTCTTAATTGAATTATATATGATGATGGCTTCCTTTACTAAGCTAAACGGGACTCACAACTTTTTTGGTCAGCTATATATGACTATGTAGTAGTGACTTAATGATATAGAAAATGGTTTATTCAGTAAGATTTTAGGGGGGAGATTTATGCACATAGCCAATATTTTTACAAATCGCCCCTCCCAATTAAAAAAAAACAAGCTCCTTTCGTCTATTGAAAAAACCCTTCATAAACAAAAACCTTCCCAATCTATATAGACATCCACACAGACAACTTTATCTATAGAGAACTTGATGAAAAACCAACCAAAGAGCCACTTACTCTTAATTGGGTTTGAGTTAGAAGTTCAATAAGAATTTGGGAGGGTCTGCAATTAGCATAGAATAGGGATGTTGCCACCAAACCCATAATAATGGTCTTAAAAATATGGTGACCCACTCCTCAATTATTTTGCAAACAAAAAGATCCCCCCACAGAAGCAATTTGTACTAGAAGAATCTTTGTATATATAAAATTGAAATCTTAGCAAATCATTTTGAAAAACATTAGCGTACCTGTTTTCTTTTTAATTTATGAAAAGTTGGTTATGGGTCAAGTTTTAATCTTCAAAATGTATTTGTCAACCCAAATGACTAATTGTATTAGGAACTTTTATTTCTAAAAATGGTAGTTTTTCGTCTCTCAAGTGGTATTTAGAAGAATGGGAATTGATGTTCGGAGCTTAACCATTCCAACTGCAACTCCAAGTTATGAAATCAAGGTTTCTTGATGAAAATGGAGATAGGACTAGAGAACTTACTGATGGCCTGCAACGTTTGGTAATTCAAGACATCTAATTTTCGCATTTTCTCGGTGTAGCTCTTGTAGAACTTCTGAATTTCAGCCATCTGATCTCTATGCTCCAACTTCTCATTGATCTTTAATGGTTTCAAATCTTCTTTTATTCTTGGAGTTTCACTTTCTTCAAGAATGGTAGGAAGACCTCCAGTTCTTGCATTCTTCAACTCCATTTTCATCTGACCAATCAACTCTTGATGTTCCAACAAAACATCGTCTTCGTCTTCATCGTCTGAATCAACATCCCAAGAGTTTACCTTATCTTCTTCCTCAAATTTGACGCTTTTCATGAGTCCATTTTCTGATTCCATTGAGTTGTCCAAACCGGAAACCAATTCATGTATGACACTAGAATCAGAATTCTGTAGTTCCATCTCAAGATTTTCAAGATGGGGTTCGAGATCAATGAAATCATCATCAATCTCTTCTGAAACAGGAGGAATCGAAGTTTCCGGCTCTCTTTCCTTGACAGAAGAGAACTCATTATTACTAGCAGAATCAACATCCTGAGGGCTAATTGAAAAATATCCCTCACTGGAATCATCTGATTCAACCTGATGATCAAGAGAATTGAATTCATTTTCCTGAGATAAATCAACTCCATAAGAAAATTTGTCATTTCTTATGAAAAATTCTCCCAACCAATTAACCTGCTCCGGTTTCAAAAGTCCATTTTCACCCACATTTAACTGACTTTTCTCCTGCAATTCTTGAACTTCTTCACAACCTGAATCACCAACTACAAATTCCTTCGATTTCTCTTCGGAATTGATGGAATCCGTATTGGAAAGATCAACCCTTTGAAGAATTTGACCTGAAAAAACCTTTGATTCCATGGAACCATCAACTTTTCCATTTGATGGAAGATTTGAATTTTCATTCAGTTCTTGCCGTTGATCTTCAATTTTACTTATTCCCCCTTTCTTTGTGATGAAATCGTCTTCCCTTGAATCTTCTTCCAAGAACAATTCGTGAACAGTAAAGCTACCAATTTCTGGCTCTGCTACAAACCCACCAAAATCTTGAACAGATACGAATTGGTACTTACTTGTGTTCGTCGTCGTTGTGAGCTCGTTCTCCATGAAAGCATTCTCTGTTTCGCCTGCTTTTGCATCAGCGACACCTTTATAGCTAATCAAATCTTCTTCTTTAATCTGAAACTGAAACCCAAAAGCAAACTCAGGTTTATCTTCTTCACCAAATCCATCATAGTTCGAACCAGCGGAGCTCCCAACAATTATCTCTTCTTGCTCATTGAAACCCACAGTTGTATCCAAACTATTCTCATGATGATCATCATCAATCCGTGATCTGAACACAAAATCACCTAATTATTCCAAATCAACATAACATCAAAAACAATAACAACATAAAAATTTCCCAAAATTGAGACTTACCTCACCAGGCGTTTGATCAAATGCCCAAATAAACCCAACACGAAATTGCAGAGAAAAACCCATAGAAAACTACAAACTTTCATCACTATCCTCTGCACCAAATCAACTGTAAAGGGTTCATGGAAAACTTTAAAGTAGGATTTGATGAGAAACAGCTTATGGGCCTCCATACCAACAGAAGTTAGATTGTAGTTTTTCTCATCTCATTCTTCAAGTAAAGGCGAAAGGTGGGGAAAAGAAGAGTGGTGAATGAAGGAAAGTTGCAATTGAAGGTGGAGAAGAAGCGTTCTGTTTGGTGTAAATATGCGCGGCCATGTTGGCGAAGATTGTGGGATGAATAAGATTTCCATATGATGAGTGATGAGGGAGAAAGCTACTCCAAGACAAGGGAATATAATTAATTAATTACAAATATTAAGCATGCATTTTGGAACCATCTTCTTTGTTTTTTTTAACAAATAAACGAGTATTCGTATAATGCTAATTTTAATGTTTTATTTTATTCTGTTTTTATAGATGTTATAATATAGTTCATGTGATTTTGAAAAAAAAATAACGTTTTTATTTTTGAATAA